CCGCGCTCGTAACGAGAGTCAAACGTCGTGCCACCCCCCGCGCTCGTAACGAGAGCCAAGCGACGGCCTTAGTACTTCTGCCATTGGCTCATTGGTTCTGTGGTCAGGTTGTGCAGGACCACCCCAAGATCCCTGGTCGCGGTGCTCAATATCTTGCAGAGTTGATGGTTGCCACATATGTAGTTTGATATATTACAGTAAAATCACCATTCTCAGCTGTTAGGGAACACCTTTCACGTCTGTTATAAAAACCTACTTACAAAATGATATTGAAGACATTTTTTTCTGATCTTCTTGTTTTATGTTTGTTTGTTGTTTAATGCCGCATTCGGCAATATTCCAGCTGCATGACGGCGGTCTGTTCCGAATCCAGTCGGACCAGACCATCCAGTGATTAATATCATCAGCATCGATCTAAGCAACTGGGATACGATGACGTGCATCCACAAAGCCAGGGAGACTGACCACGTGACAAGCAGAGTCGCCCTTTACGGCAAGCATGAGTTGCTGAAGATCTATTCTCTACCCGGATCTTCACAGGTCTTTTTCTTATCAGAAACACAAGTGATTACTACCCGTGACCCCATATCTCCCTGATATAGTCTATCGGAAACACAAGTGATTACTACCCGTGACCCCATATCTCCCTGATATAGTCTATCGGAAACACAAGTGATTACTATCCGTGATCCCATATATCCCTGATATAGTCTATCGGAAACGTTGAAAGTAAAGAAAAAGAACTTCTGTTTGTTTGTTTAACGCCGCACTCGGCAATATTTCGGCTATATGACGGCGGTCTGTAGTTAATCGAGTCTGGATCAGATAATCCAGTGACCGACATCATGAGCCTGGATGTACGCAATCGGGATACGATGACATGCATCAACCAAGTCAGCGAGCCCAATCCCATCTTGGAATATCTAAATATTATTTCATTATGTATAAGTTACTTTTTGATGATACTTAAGTGGGAACATGTAAATTTTAATTGCATAACGTTTATGAAACCAATGTTTGACGACCTAAGCCTCAGTTACATATAGATATCACAATATTCAAGGTTATCTAAATATATAGTTAGCGATAAACTAAATTATTGAAACTAGCAATTGTTAATAGCAATAGTTAATAGCAATAGTTAATAGCAATAGTTAATAGCAAAATGACCCATGGAGAGAATTGTAAAATATTACCAATTAACAAAAATTGAAACCTTTGTAAAATTTTACTTAAGTTTAGAACCTCCTGTCAAAATTTACCAATTGAGTGAGTGAGTGAGTTTTTAGCAATATCCCAGCAATATCACGGCGGGGGACGCCAGAAATGGGCTTCACACATTGTACCTATGTCGGGAATCGTCGTAACGAGCGAACGCTTTAACGTCTTGGCTACCCGACCGCCCCCAATTTACCAATTGAAAAATGGCAGATGGAGGAAAATACCCTCTCTGAAAACCATGAGGCACCGGACGTGGATTCCACTATTTGTTTATTTGTCGTTCATTTGAAAAAGAGAGGAAATAACAGATTCATAATTATTATTATATTGGACCCAACATGTATCAAATGAACCTAAAATCTACAAGAGTCTCGCTGAAGTTCAGACCTGGAAATAATATTTACATAAAATGTGTACAAATTTCCTGACGAGACCGAAGTATAGTTTTCATATAAACTGACGTCCAAAAGAAACTTTACCAGAGTTTGAAATCACTCTTGCTCAAAAACAACAAAACATACATGCATGAAGTAAAGTGTATTGAGAAGATCAATATATCAACATAATCAACACTGAAAATGACAATCATACCGCGACCGGGAATGACGTCAGAGCCCCCCAAAGTCGGGTGTGGTACTAAACTCGAGCTTTCAGAATCATGGACAATAGGCAGAGTACATAAACAATCGCTCACGTTCAATAACATGTCATTAGTAGCGTTTGTGACCACCAAATGCCTCAGTACACGCAAAAACTCTTCGACGCACAGAAAAAAGTCAGTCGTCGGATGAGGTCACGTGGGATTTGACGCCATTCGTCTTGGGCCAAGATCAGTTCTTGCCGGTTGGCTGGAGAGTGTGGTCGTTGTCGAACACGACGATCCATCAAGTCCCAGAGGTGTTCTATGGGGCACACGTCGGGTGAGCGTTGACGGCAGGCCGTTGACGTTGTTGGCTGCGAGGAAGTTAGTGACAATTCTGGCTGTATGGGCTTTAGCGTTGTCATGCTGTTAAATGACACGACGTGGTTGCTGTTGGAGAAATGGTAGGACAACTGGACGAAGAATGTTATCCATGTAACGCTGAGCTGTCAAGTTTCCGTCAACGATGACCAGCGGTGTCCTCTCCTGCCCACAGATCCCTCCCCACACCATGACACTGCCTCAAACCATATGGTACGACCTCCTGCACGCAACACGCCGCCGTTCGTTCACCCTTTCGACGGTAAACACGTTGTCTTCCATCAGCCCTAAACATACAGAATCGACTTTCGTCAGTGAAGACAACCCTTTGCCAGTCACGTCGTTGTCAACGTCGTACAGTCCGGGCCCATCTCAATCGCAGACGAAGATGTTGCGCTGTCAATAGCTGCCCCCTGTATGGTCTAAAAGCCCTGATTCCATGAGCCCTGAGTCTCATGGCCACTGTCTGTCGACTAACCCTGTGACCTAAGGCATTTGTCGCCGATGACGTCACTGTCAGGAAGCGATTTCGGAATTGCAAGGTCCGCAAGTACCGGTCATCATGGGGCGTGGTCACCCTGGGCCAGCCTGTTCTTGGCCTGTCAGCGGTCCGTCCTCTCTGTCTGCAACGTTGGTAACGGCAACACGGGAGCAACCGAAGGTTCGTGCAATATGGGCGTGGGTGGCTCCAATCTGTACCATACCCAAGGCTCGTTCACGTTGTTCGACTGTGAGTCGTGGCATTTCTTTTGTGTTTTTTTATCACTTTGGATGTCTGACTTGCCGTTGCAATCGTTTTATACCCTTACCCTTACCCCCCCCCCCCCCCAGATATATGATTCTTAGTATGGCGGGGACAATGCGTATGGGCATGGCTATACTATGGTTCAAGCACGGGGACGCTTGGGTGAATCCAAAGATAAGATATATATTGTATAATTGCTTTAAATTATTTGGGGGGAAAACGTTATAAATTTGGTATCCACGTGGATAACGTCAGATCATCATAATGTTTTTCTTCGGTCAGTCTCAGAATTACACAGTTATTTAGTTAATTTTTGTATGGAATTATCAGGATAAATCGTATAAGTAGAAAAAAACCAGGATGTTACTATATTTTTCTTTTACCAATATTATATGAATATAGTAATCAGCTTAATATCAGAACAGAACAGAACAGAACAGAACAGAATGTATTTCGTATAGTCTGGCCATAAGGCCAATAGTACAGATGGTTGGATAATATTTGACATATTGTGACAGAGCGCTTCAGTTAATATTGGCTTTAGAATTTCTAAGTTAAACATTTTATCTAAATATAGAGCAAGCTCAAATAAAATGCTGTCGTCATTTGTTGTGAGTAACAATACAAACTTGTGCAGGGTAGGATATTGATAGTAATTCGAGGGCAAATACCTTATCCTTAAGTTAGTATATGCTGGACATATGATCAGTGCATGGTATTCATCATCTAAGTCTTCTTTACAGAAAGTACATAGAATGTCAGCAAAGTCATAGTCACTAGACATTCTATATTTATGTATTTTAAAATCATTTGAACAACATCTAAATTGTGTTAAAGATCTTCTTAAATTTACAGTCTTAAACGATGATAGATATTTTTCAGGTTGTAGTAAGGATTTGTCAGTGCAATATAAATCTAGCCTTGGTGAATTAGATATACAATCTGACCATTCTTGCATATACAAATCCCTTGTTCTTTCCTTAAATGTATAAATAAACACAGCTAAATATCCTGTGATTACAATATTTAAAACAAGTGTTACTAGATTACACCATGAGAGGAAAATTCGGAAATCGTTTTTGTCACTAAACACGCACCTGGTGAATCGTTAGACGTCAGTGTTCTGTCAATCAAACGACCTAATCAAATCCCCTCTGAAAATGTGTGCATATATATTTATTGAATGTGTTATTCGTGTTGTTGAAGTAAATATTACAATATTGAATATTACAATGCAACAGTTGTTCAGGATGCGGTTACATTCATAGTTCATCTTCAAAAGCTGAATATTACAATGCAACAGTTGTTCAGGATGCGGTTACATTCATAGTTCATCTTCAAAAGCTGAATATTACAATGCAACAGTTGTTCAGGATGCGGTTACATTCATAGTTCATCTTCAAAAGCTGATTATTACCATGCAACAGTTGTTCAGGATGCGGCTACATTCATAGTTCATCTTGAAAAGCTGATTATTACAATGCAACAGTTGTTCAGGATGCGGTTACATTCATCTTCAAAAGCTGACAACTATGGCATACAACGCTAAGTTTGTCAGTTTCTCAAGTAAACATTGCTAAAAACAAAAAGGTGATTATCCAAGTTTCCTGTGCAGAGATATACGCGTTCTATAATATTCAACTTTAATAATTATAACGTTCAATATCATACTATACGTAGATCCTTGCTAAAAAAATATGAAATTTGAATATATGAAATACTTGAAATATCCAACTTGCGAGTCACTGCGTACAAAAGAGTGTGATATAAACGCTAACATTTTCTACATCATGATAGAATAATCAGCAGGTTAGAACGAGTGTGAATACCATTATTCATCTGACCTTCACCTATAAAGAAAATAACAGAAAGGATAATCTATGTACAATAACCTTTATCGTCTTTGCTGTGTGCGAGCTTTGGTTATACCCTGGTCAAAACGAGTTGACCTGGTTCGTCCAGTTTAAAAATTTAACGCAAGCACTGAGAAAGGAGCTGAAACGCGCGTTCCCTGGCGATTATAGTGGATGAAATTGTACAGGGTACAAAAAACTCTTACACCGGTTCCAGTGTGCGGAGCGTTTCACAGATGCGACCCATATGCAGGGTTCCAAAGTTCGCGAGGAAATCCCACCGTTATCGTCGATTCTGAAGTTTCTAGCGACATCGGTCGAGTATGTATTGATCAGGTGGGTATTAAGAATTCGGAAATAATCGTGTTATATCCCAACAGCCTCTAAAGCAGTGGTTATCTGCAGCTCTGCGTGCCCTCGTTATAACAACGCTCTCATCATCACACTTTCGTCGTATAGCCGACCACCTGCGTTTGTGGTGGTTTGGCGTTATCAGGAGATTTTTGAAGGATATAGCGAATGTTGGGGAATTTAAATTATCTATGGCTTGTGTTCATAGTTTGTGTTTTATTATAAGGCTTTTATCGTGATACATTTTGTGCCAAGCGGATTAACACCCAAAGAAGCATTCGTAAAATCTGATAATATACTGTTGAATAGCCACTCGAATGATAAACGCCACAAATAATGTACTGGAGTATATATTTCATTCTCAGCGTGTCATAACGATGATATTAGTTGTGTTTGATAGCAGAGCTCAGCGATATATTTGCCGTAATACACGTATTGAGAACGTTGACCGCATCGCCTGACAATGTGATGCCGGTGTCATGCACTGCGAGGACTCCGTCAGTTTTCCTGACGTCTGCGATGTCGTGTAACCAAGGTAACGGTGTGGGAAGTACTTGACGTCGTATCTGAAATGTTTCAAATGAATGCGGGACTAATGTCAAGCAAATTGGCACACGATTTCTACAGATACTAGCAGGATTACTTTACACCTTTCAAACACGAATTAAATGTATTTGTTTATAGTGTCACACTGAAATCTGTAATTATCTTATTTGAATTTATCAGTTAAATATTACACTAATGTTATTTAAAGCGAGGTGTTGGTAGTTGTTGCTCAGTTCACAAATTCTAGCAAGTGTTGTTTTCAAACCCTAAATTCAAAAGCAAATTTATTTGATTTTAAAGTCAATTTGATTATATAAATCTACCTGGTACGATGACCTTGATTAAAGACTGGTCATTTATTTGTGGGGTGGGGGTCGGGATGGGAGGGTGAGATTATCGGGGAGAGCATGTAAACAAATGACAGTGAAAGAGATGGGTGTGGCAGGGGGGAGAACACCACAATGTATCACAACCACGGGGTGCATGGAAAAATAACACATTTTTATTATTGTTTTGGATTAAGATAAAATGGAAATCTGCAAAGTACAATTTGTCCTTCATTTTTGGGGAAGGGCGTCATGAACAAATGTTACATGAATCGGTGGGGTTGGGGTGAGCAAAATATGATACAGCCCTCGGACCCCTCCCATCGTCAAGAGCTACAATACTGCTGATATAAGGGTAACGCTATTTTTCAGGGCATTATCATTTGCAGAAGCCCGAGCTCTTCCATTAACTGCCCGGCGAGGAGGGCTACCGTTGTTTTAACGAAAACGGATGGAATTTGTTATCAAATATAAAGAAACAACAATATGGTTTTGAAAAATTTACTGAATCAACACCAATGTCACTGGACCACTTTTACAAATATGGAAACGTCATCGAACAAACCAGATTACGTCACTATTGAACGTGTCGTCACCTATCCCTTTCCCATGAATTCTATGACGTCACCTAACAACGAGCGTGATAATGGCCCGTCGTCAAGCAATATGAGGGCATTATCAAGTTACACTGGCCCGCTCATTTCTGATAACGTGCGGGCGGTTTAATGATAATTCTACCCATTCTACCTATAATGCGACGTAAAGCAATATTCATTCATTTATTCATTAATTATTTATATTTCACTGAAAAAATGATCCGCAGAGCGATGTTTAGTTTGAGGTTACTGCTTTAAATGTACAGATGAATGTGTTACAATACAGTGTTAAATACTAGGGCTGGGACAGGCAACTCAGGTTTGTTTGTTGTTTGTTGTTTGTTGTTTGTTGTTTAACGCCACACTCAGCAGTATTCCAGCTATATGACGGCAGTCTGTAAAGAATTGAGTCTGGACCAGACAATCCAGTGATTGACAACATGAACATCTACCCACACAATTGGGATACGATGACATGCATCAACCAAGTCAGCGAGCCTGACCACCAGATCCTGTTAGTCGCCTCTAACGACAAGCAATCGCATTTTATGGCAAGGATGGGTTGCTGAAGACCTATTCTACCCTGGATCTTCACGGGTCGGGGTAACACAGGTACTGGGATGGTATCGGTTCTGAGATATACCCAGGTACCCACAGGACTACCCGGATCTGTGGTTCGTGATATGACGTATTGTTTAATCACAAAAATGATCTAGGACTATATGGTTAGACTACAAGTCAGTAATGTTCGCATTTCTTTCTGACTATGCACAGGGGCGGTCGTAGCCTAGTGGTTTAAAGCGTTCGCTCATCACACAGAACACCTGTGTTCGATTCTCGACATGGGTACAATGTGTGAAGCCCATTTCTGGTGTGCGCCGCCATGATATTGTTGGAATATTGCTAAAAGCGACGTAAAACAATACTCATTCACTCACTCTGAATGCACCCATTCCTTCTGACTGTATAAAGATAAAACTTCAGTCAAGTTCAGTTTCCTAATCGGACATTTTGTACCTATCTCTTGAGACCTACCGCTGGTACTCGGGTAGTGTCAGGTAATGGGGGGGGGGGGGGGGGGGGGGGGGTACCTCGGGTAGTGTCTGGTAATAGGGGGTGGGTACCTGGGTAGTGTCAGGTAATAGGGGGTGGGTACCCGAGTAGTGTCAGGTAATAGGGGGGTGGGTACCTGGGTATTGTCAGGTAATAGGGGGGTGGGTACCTGGGTAGTGTCAGGTAATAGGGGGTGGGTACCTGGGTAGTGTCAGGTAATAGGGGGTGGGTACCCGAGTAGTGTCAGGTAATAGGGGGGGTGGGGGTGGGGTACCCGGGTAGTTTCAGGTAATAGGGGGGGGGGGGTACCTGGGTAGTGTCAGGTAATAGGGGGGTGGGTACCCGGGTAGTGTCAGGTAATAGGGGGGGGGGGGTACCTGGGTATTGTCAGGTAATAGGGGGTGGGTACCCGAGTAGTGTCAGGTAATAGGGGGGGTGGGGGTGGGGTACCCGGGTAGTTTCAGGTAATAGGGGGGGGGGGTACCTGGGTAGTGTCAGGTAATAGGGGGGTGGGGGTACCCGGGTAGTGTCAGGTAATAGGGGGGTGGGTACCCAGGTAGTGTCAGGTAATAGGGGGTGGGTACCAGGGTAGTGTCAGGTAATAGGGGGTGGGTATCCGGGTAGTGTCAGGTAATAGGGGGTTGGGTACCTGGGTAGTGTCAGGTAATAGGGGGGGTGGGGGTACCTGGGTAGTGTCAGGTAATAGGGGGTGGGTATCTGGGTAGTGTCAGGTAATAGGGGGTTGGGTACCTGGGTAGTGTCAGGTAATAGGGGGGTGGGTACCCAGGTAGTGTCAGGTAATAGGGGGGCTGGGTGCTCGGGTAGTATCAGGTAATAGGGGGCTGGGTGCTCGGGTAGTGTCAGGTAATAGGGGGGTGGGTACCCGGGTAGTGTCAGGTAATAGGGGTTGGGTATCCGGGTAGTGTCAGGTAATAGGGGGGGGGTACCCGGGTAGTGTCAGGTAATAGGGGTTGGGTATCCGGGTAGTGTCAGGTAATAGGGTGGGTGGGTACCCAGGTAGTGTCAGGTAATAGGGGGGTGGGCACCCGAGTAGTGTCAGGTAATAGAGGGGTGGGCACCCGGGTAGTGTCAGGTAATAGGGGTTGGGTGCCCGGGTAGTGTCAGGTAATAGGGGGCTGGGTACCCGGGTAGTGTCAGGTAATAGGGGGCTGGGCACCCGGGTAGTAAATTTGAACTCGTCCCAGCCCTGTAGAATACCTCAGAGTATAAGGTAGCATGAACTTTAGAAAGTCACACTTTTGAAGAAATAATTGTTTCCCAGCAGTACCTGCCAAGGGCACTTAATTTGGAATTAAAGTTAAACACTGTTTGTTTTTTTAAACACTTTGTCGACGTAAAACATTTGAAGTAAATTTGATGTATGACTGAAATATAGGGCTGGCTGAAAAGATCGATAATCCGAATTATCTTCGATTGGAAGAAATATTAACTGAAAATTGTCATCGATAATATCTTACTCAAACTATTGTGATGAAATAAAGTTTTAATTTACCGAAGCAGGCTTGCTTTTGACCATTGCGAAGATGGCAAGCAACTGATTTTGTTATATCTTAAATGTCCACAAAGTAATCCATGCAAAAATGTGTCACCGCTCACCAGTGAGATATGTTGTTTTTTCTCTGAGCGTTTGCATATTTGATCAAAGTTACTTCTCTGATATTTATTGATAATTGATGGTTACTTAGTTAATGATTATCTATCTCTAAGATTTATTTCAATAGCCAGCCCAACTGAAATATTTCTCCCTTATGTTGAGATGAAAACTGATCCTTAACTCAAAGTGTGCTCGGATTGTTTATTGTTATTATTGTTTGACAGATGATCTTAACTCAAAGTGTGCTCGGATTGTTTATTATTATCATTGTTTGACAGATGATCTTAACTCAAAGTGTGCTTGGATTGTTTATTATTATTATTGTTTGACAGATGATCTTAACTCAAAGTGTGCTTGGATTGTTTATTATTATCATTGTTTGACAGATGATCTTAACTCAAAGTGTGCTTGGATTGTTTATTGTTATTATTGTTTGACAGATGATCTTAACTCAAAGTGTGCTTGGATTGTTTATTGTTATTATTGTTTGACAGATGATCTTAACTCAAAGTGTGCTTGGATTGTTTATTATTATCATTGTTTGACAGATGATCTTAACTCAAAGTGTGCTTGGATTGTTTATTGTTATTATTGTTTGACAGATGATCTTAACTCAAAGTGTGCTTGGATTGTTTATTGTTATTATTGTTTGACAGATGATCTTAACTCAAAGTGTGCTTGGATTGTTTATTATTATCATTGTTTGACAGATGATCTTAACTCAAAGTGTGCTCTGATTGTTTATTGTTATGATTGTTTGACAGATGATCTTAACTCAAAGTGTGCTTGGATTGTTTATTATTATCATTGTTTGACAGATGATCTTAACTCAAAGTGTGCTTGGATTGTTTATTATTATCATTGTTTGACAGATGATCTTAACTCAAAGTGTGCTTGGATTGTTTATTATTATTATTGTTTGACAGATGATCTTAACTCAAAGTGTGCTTGGATTGTTTATTGTTATTATTGTTTGACAGATGATCTTAACTCAAAGTGTGCTTGGATTGTTTATTGTTATTATTGTTTGACAGATGATCTTAACTCAAAGTGTGCTTGGATTGTTTATTATTATCATTGTTTGACAGATGATCTTAACTCAAAGTGTGCTTGGATTGTTTATTGTTATTATTGTTTGACAGATGATCTTAACTCAAAGTGTGCTTGGATTGTTTATTGTTATTATTGTTTGACAGATGATCTTAACTCAAAGTGTGCTTGGATTGTTTATTGTTATTATTGTTTGACAGATGATCTTAACTCAAAGTGTGCTTGGATTGTTTATTGTTATTATTGTTTGACAGATGATCTTAACTCAAAGTGTGCTTGGATTGTTTATTATTATTATTGTTTGACAGATGATCTTAACTCAAAGTGTGCTTGGATTGTTTATTATTATCATTGTTTGACAGATGATCTTAACTCAAAGTGTGCTTGGATTGTTTATTATTATTATTGTTTGACAGATGATCTTAACTCAAAGTGTGCTTGGATTGTTTATTGTTATTATTGTTTGACAGATGATCTTAACTCAAAGTGTGCTCGGATTGTTTATTATTATCATTGTTTGACAGATGATCTTAACTCAAAGTGTGCTTGGATTGTTTATTATTATTATTTTTTGACAGATGATCTTAACTCAAAGTGTGCTCGGATTGTTTATTGTTATCATTGTTTGACAGATGATCTTAACTCAAAGTGTGCTTGGATTGTTTATTATTATTATTGTTTGACAGATGATCTTAACTCAAAGTGTGCTTGGATTGTTTATTATTATCATTGTTTGACAGATGATCTTAACTCAAAGTGTGCTTGGATTGTTTATTATTATCATTGTTTGACAGATGATCTTAACTCAAAGTGTGCTCGGATTGTTTATTATTATCATTGTTTGACAGATGATCTTAACTCAAAGTGTGCTTGGATTGTTTATTATTATCATTGTTTGACAGATGATCTTAACTCAAAGTGTGCTTGGATTGTTTATTATTATCATTGTTTGACAGATGATCTTAACTCAAAGTGTGCTTGGATTGTTTATTATTATCATTGTTTGACAGATGATCTTAACTCAAAGTGTGCTTGGATTGTTTATTATTATCATTGTTTGACAGATGATCTTAACTCAAAGTGTGCTTGGATTGTTTATTATTATCATTGTTTGACAGATGATCTTAACTCAAAGTGTGCTTGGATTGTTTATTATTATCATTGTTTGACAGATGATCTTAACTCAAAGTGTGCTCGGATTGTTTATTATTATCATTGTTTGACAGATGATCTTAACTCAAAGTGTGCTTGGATTGTTTATTATTATTATTGTTTGACAGATGATCTTAACTCCAAGTGTGCTTGGATTGTTTATTATTATCATTGTTTGACAGATGATCTTAACTCAAAGTGTGCTTGGATTGTTTATTATTATTATTGTTTGACAGATGATCTTAACTCAAAGTGTGCTCGGATTGTTTATTATTATCATTGTTTGACAGATGATCTTAACTCAAAGTGTGCTTGGATTGTTTATTATTATCATTGTTTGACAGATGATCTTAACTCAAAGTGTGCTTGGATTGTTTATTATTATCATTGTTTGACAGATGATCTTAACTCAAAGTGTGCTTGGATTGTTTATTGTTATCATTGTTTGACAGATGATCTTAATTCAAAGTGTGCTCGGATTGTTTATTATTATCATTGTTTGACAGATGATCTTAACTCAAAGTGTGCTTGGATTGTTTATTATTATCATTGTTTGACAGATGATCTTAACTCAAAGTGTGCTTGGATTGTTTATTATTATTATTGTTTGACAGATGATCTTAACTCAAAGTGTGCTTGGATTGTTTATTATTATCATTGTTTGACAGATGATCTTAACTCAAAGTGTGCTCGGATTGTTTATTATTATCATTGTTTGACAGATGATCTTAACTCAAAGTGTGCTTGGATTGTTTATTATTATCATTGTTTGACAGATGATCTTAACTCAAAGTGTGCTTGGATTGTTTATTATTATCATTGTTTGACAGATGATCTTAACTCAAAGTGTGCTTGGATTGTTTATTATTATCATTGTTTGACAGATGATCTTAACTCAAAGTGTGCTTGGATTGTTTATTATTATTATTGTTTGACAGATGATCTTAACTCAAAGTGTGCTTGGATTGTTTATTATTATCATTGTTTGACAGATGATCTTAACTCCAAGTGTGCTTGGATTGTTTATTATTATCATTGTTTGACAGATGATCTTAACTCAAAGTGTGCTTGGATTGTTTATTATTATTATTGTTTGACAGATGATCTTAACTCAAAGTGTGCTTGGATTGTTTATTATTATCATTGTTTGATAGATGATCTTAACTCAAAGTGTGCTCGGATTGTTTATTATTATCATTGTTTGACAGATGATCTTAACTCAAAGTGTGCTCGGATTGTTTATTATTATCATTGTTTGACAGATGATCTTAACTCAAAGTGTGCTTGGATTGTTTATTATTATCATTGTTTGACAGATGATCTTAACTCAAAGTGTGCTTGGATTGTTTATTATTATCATTGTTTGACAGATGATCTTAACTCAAAGTGTGCTCGGATTGTTTATTGTTATTATTGTTTGACAGATGATCTTAACTCAAAGTGTGCTTGGATTGTTTATTATTATCATTGTTTGACAGATGATCTTAACTCAAAGTGTGCTTGGATTGTTTATTATTATCATTGTTTGACAGATGATCTTAACTCAAAGTGTGCTTGGATTGTTTATTATTATCATTGTTTGACAGATGATCTTAACTCAAAGTGTGCTCGGATTGTTTATTGTTATTATTGTTTGACAGATGATCTTAACTCAAAGTGTGCTTGGATTGTTTATTATTATCATTGTTTGACAGATGATCTTAACTCAAAGTGTGCTTGGATTGTTTATTGTTATCATTGTTTGACAGATGATCTTAACTCAAAGTGTGCTTGGATTGTTTATTATTATTATTGTTTGACAGATGATCTTGGATGAGGATGATGGAAATCTATGTCGTGGCTCTCCTCCCAGCTCTAGTCATGCTCACAGGTCAGTTCCCATGGCAACTGCATCACTACCTGCTTACTATAGGGAGCAGTTCAAAAGTCAACTATGCCTTATTAAAAAATAGTTTTTAGACGTTGACCCACATTTCACCCAGAGCCTCAATGTGAAAATGTTGACATTATCAAAGAGATTTTCAGAAACAAACATATAAGAGCCCGGGTTTCACAAGATGCGAACTGTTGCATACATTTTATTCCTACGAATAATTTTGGATGTAAATAATTTACTTTACAAATCCTGTCAGATGCCTAAAGAATATCTGTATTATGTATTTATCAAAGTTGTTGATTGCGTGTTACAAATAACTGACATTTATATTCTGGTAAAAAAAACACTCTTAGTCCAGAGTGTCAGTTGGGGATTTCCTTCAATCTAACATTGAAATCCCCATCCATAACATGGTTAAGGCGTTAAGTGTGTTCAATGACATAAAGCAATGAAATTCTCAGAAATCTTGCAGCAACACGTTGCCATCCTGGACGCCTATGAGAGCCCCACATGTTTCAATCAGAGTGCCCTTGACTTCAGAACGGAGGGACCCCTGTGAGAGCCCCACATGTTTCAATCAGAGTGCCCTTGACTTCAGAACGGAGGGACCCCTGTGAGAGCCCCACATGTTTCAATCAGAGTGCCCTTGACTTCAGACCGGAGGGACCCCTGTGAGAGCCCCACATGTTTCAATCAGAGTGCCCTTGACTTCAGACCGGAGGGACCCCTGTGAGAGCCCCACATGTTTCAATCAGAGTGCCTTCAGACCGCAGGGACCCCTGTGAGAGCCCCACATGTTTCAATCAGAGTGCCCTTGACTTCAGACCGGAGGGACCCCTGTGAGAGCCCCACATGTTTCAATCAGAGTGCCCATGACTTCAGACCGGAGGGACCCCTGTGAGAGCCCCACATGTTTCAATCAGAGTGCCCTTTACTTCAGACCGGAGGGACCCCTGTGAGAGCCCCACATGTTTCAATCAGAGTGCCCTTGACTTCAGACCGGAGGGACCCCTGTGAGAGCCCCACATGTTTCAATCAGAGTGCCCTTGACTTAAGAACGGAGGGACCCCTGTGAGAGCCCCACATATTTCAATCAGAGTGCCCTTGACTTCAGACCGGAGGGACCCATGTGAGAGCCCCACATGTTTCAATCAGAGTGCCCTTGACTTCAGAACGGAGGGACCCCTGTGAGAGCCCCACATGTTTCAATCAGAGTGCCCTTGACTTCAGACCGGAGGGACCCCTGTGAGAGCCCCACATGTTTCTATCAGAGTGCCCTTGACTTCAGAACGGAGGGACCCCTGTGAGAGCCCCACATGTTTCAATCAGAGTGCCCTTGACTTCAGAACGAAGGGACCCCTGTGAGAGCCCCACATGTTTCAATCTGAGTGCCCTTGACTTCAGACCGGAGGGACCCATGTGAGAGCCCCACATGTTTCAATCAGAGTGCCCTTGACTTCAGACAGGAGGGACCCCTGTGAGAGCCCCACATGTTTCAATCAGAGTGCCCTTGACTTCAGAACGGAGGGACCCCTGTGAGAGCCCCACATGTTTCAATCAGAGTGCCCTTGACTTCAGAACGGAGGGACCCCTGTGAGAGCCCCACATGTTTCAATCAGAGTGCCCTTGACTTCAGACCGGAGGGACCCCTGTGAGAGCCCCACATGTTTCAATCAGAGTGCCCATGACTTCAGAACAGAGGGACCCCTGTGAGAGCCCCACATGTTTCAATCAGAGTGCCCTTGACTTCAGAACGGAGGGACCCCTGTGAGAGCCCCACATGTTTCAATCAGAGTGCCCTTGACTTCAGAACGAAGGGACCCCTGTGAGAGCCCCACATGTTTCAATCAGAGTGCCCTTGACTTCAGAACGGAGGGACCCCTGTGAGAGCCCCACATGTTTCAATCAGAGTGCCCTTGACTTCAGAACGGAGGGACCCCTGTGAGAGCCCCACATGTTTCAATCAGAGTGCCCTTGACTTCAGAACGGAGGGACCCTTGTCATTACATCATTGTTTGTTTGTTTGTTGTTTAACGCCGCACTCAGCAACATTCCAGCTATATGAAGGCAGTCTGTAAATAATTGTGTCTGGACCAGACGATCCAGTGATTGACATCTTGAGCTGTTAATTTTAGCGTCATTGCATGAAGGTCATAGCAACATGGAAAGGTTGGGTTTGTCTCTTGGAAAATTTCCAGACCTGTTAACCTCCCCAACAGAAGGATTTTATAAATTGTAGCAGGATGACGAGGGGTACCTGGGGTTTCCTGCGTCCCGCGTTGGGTGTTATTCCACCATCAGATATATTCACTGACTCAGGTTCACCACTACAAGAGTAGGTCAAAAGTTGATGTCAGATACCATCATACTTCCATGTCAGAATGATGAGATCTGATTGGTCCACGTGATATTGATAAAATACTATGTATCCCGCCTTGGAAGGGAATATGTTTCTCAGTGGGGGAATAAATCTCTTATACCCCGCCAGGGGCACTACAGGCTGCACGTGGATTTCTGAGAGACAGAATAAATCACTCATGCCCCGCTTCCAAGTAAAAAAGCTGCACGTTTTTTTCGAGTCAATGGAAGTCAATTAACACAGAACAAGCTCACCAGCTCTTTTCTATCAAGTTTGAATCTGTTTCAATTATTTTACAATGTCATATTTAAACATGTTGGTAAGATAAATTCGTTGTAGCTGGATGACGAGAGGTACATGGGGTTTTATGTGTCCCGCGGTCGTTTTATACCACTCACCTCCGGCTCATAATAAAGAAGTTGACATCCATATATTTTCTTCCTCATAATGATGCTTTAATCAAGTGAGAGAAGTTAGTTTACTGCTGCAGTCCATATTCCAGCTGTATCACACGGCAAGTAATCAACACAAACAAGTGACTGATAGCTTGAGCAAGGACCCACATCGTCGGCAGAGTTACCATGTCTGACCTCCCAATCTCTCTGTGCCTTCCCTCACAATGAGACCATAGCTCCACGGGTGATATTACATTGAACACAATGAGACCATGGCTCCACGGGTGATATTACATTGAACACAATGAGACCATGGCTCCAAGGGTGATATTACATTGAACACAATGAGACCATGGCTCCAAGGGTGATATTACATTGAACACAATGAGACCATGGCTCCAAGGGTGATATTACATTGAACACAATGAGACCATGGCTCCACGGGTGATATTACATTGAACACAATGAGACCATGGCTCCACGGGTGATATTACATTGAACACAATGAGACCATGGCTCCACGGGTGATATTACATTGAACACAATGAGACCATGGCTCCACGGGTGATATTACATTGAACACAATGAGACCATAGCTCCACGGGTGATATTACATTGAACACAATGAGACCATGGCTCCAAGGGTGATATTACACTGAACACAATGAGACCATGGCTCCACGGGTGATATTACACTGAACACAATGAGACCATAGCTCCACGGGTGATATTACATTGAACACAATGAGACCATGGCTCCACGGGTGATATTACATTGAACACAATGAGACCATGGCTCCACGGGTGATATTACACTGAACACAATGAGACCATGGCTCCACGGGTGATATTACATTGAACACAATGAGACCATGGCTCCACGGGTGATATTACACTGAACACAATGAGACCATGGCTCCACGGGTGATATTACACTGAACACAATGAGACCATGGCTCCACGGGTGATATTACACTGAACACAATGAGACCATGGCTCCACGGGTGATATTACACTGAACACAATGAGACCATGGCTCCACGGGTGATATTACACTGAACACAATGAGACCATGGCTCCAAGGGTGATATTACACTGAACACAATGATGCCACATGTTTTTATGGCTGACAGAATTTAGCCAGCTTATTACTTTGGGTTAGTTAAAATAAATAAAAGATAATTGTCTCTGAATATTGTTTTCATTTGCAATTGGGTCAGATGGTTTAATGGGGAAGTCGAGGTCAGACAAACCAGTGGTTGACAGCATGAACACATATGACGTCATATGTTGGACGACATTATTTTGAGAGGGAAGTGTTTGGTAAATTGTTCCCCATAGATGAAGCTGGGCAACGCAGATAAGCGCAGTGGCCAAACAATCACATCCCAAAGTGGGAGAGATGTGACTATCCGTAGTAGGAGAAAAGGTACAGACAATTGACGTGAGGATTGTGAGAATATGTTGGAAATACCAAACTTAACCCACCTGTTTTCGTGAAATGGACTGTCCGACATTTCAGGTTTGGATTCTATTCTGGGAGTCATTATTAAATTTTGGGTAAATATTTTTAGAGTTTGTACATTTTATCAACATCCTTAAAGAGGCTGTACATAATGTTGATATCTCATATAAGAAATAAACAACTTGTGGTCGTTTATTATACACTAAAACAAGGCAGGGAGGTGCGCCCCTCATGTTTTAGATAAACGCCTCACACTCGTCGTCGATAGCAGTAACCAAAAATGCAAATGAAATCTTGTCAAAAAATGTTACTTTAATTTTGTATGATGTTTGTAGTATATCATTATATTCTCTTCCATCAAAGATGGAGAGTCCTGGAAAATATGAGTATGTACATACTATTTATATACAATGAGGCTGTTTACTTCAGTCAATCAAATCCATAAGCTGAAAAAAGGTAACTACTTGATAACGTGTCACCCCGATGACATAGAACTTTGTTCATGACATCAACCACTGGTTTATGGTTTGGCCCAGACTGGATTATTTACAAGCTGATGTCAAATGGCCGGAATGACATTGTGTGTTAGCTAGGGGTCCACATTAAGATTCTAGGGAAGACAGAATATTTCTGTTAATCTGTGCATATTGTCTTAAATATTTTTTTCTCTGAAAGACTGCACACTATTTGTCAGAGTAAAGTACAACATAATTTTTCCAGAAATTTTTGTAACAGATAATTATTGTAAAAACACTCTCTGGTCATCCTCCAAACATATGAAATGGCCACCCCCTTAGGCAAAAAAGGGTTGGTCTGGTAGCCTAGTTGTTGAAGTGTTAGCTTGTCACATCGAACACCAGGGTTTTAATCCAATTTCTGGTATCCCCGTGTGATATTGCTGGAATATTGCTAAAAGAGACGTAAACCTAAGCTCACTCACTCACACCAGACAACAAAAACACAATTAAGAAATAAGAAACAAACAAGATGATTATGTTTCTCGGAGCAGATGGCGCCACAACACGAATGTCCTGTAACCAGCATGGCTGTATTGGCCAGCCGTACAACATCACCTGTGACATCTCCGGGACAGTCGCAGCTGGGATCACGTGGAGGAGCCCCGGGGGTGAGGAGGTGATGACCTGCCCCCCTACCAGTGGGGAGTGTCGGGGCGTGGCAGGGTACAAGCTGGTCGTGGACACAGGCACCAGGCAGGTGCTCCAGGTGGAGGAGTTCTCCCCGGGGGCGGTGGGGAGGTGGGCGTGTCATGATGGCAGCACCCCACCCACCTCCTACTGTCAGTGTGGAGAACTTGGTAGATATTACTATTATTATTATTATTATTATTATTATTACCGTTGTTGTTGTTATTATTATCATCATTATTATTATCATCATCATTATCATAATTTATATTATTGTTGTTATTGTTATTATCATTATTATTATCATCATCATCATCATTATTATTAATATAATTATTATTATTATCGTCATCATCATCATTATTATTATTATTATTAATATTATTATTATTATTATTAATATCCATCCCACATTTTTTATTTCCAGAGTAACACTCATAAAGTGTTCAATATATCATCATAAAACTTTGTATAAATATTATGCATACACTGAACTGGTGCCTTTTACTATTCATGTGCTTTGTTTATTTTAAAAAAAAATGTTTTTGTTTCCACGGCAACTTACACTAAGATGAGTTTAGTGATCGTTTTTCGGCATAATTCATAAATAATTGATTATTTCCTCATGAAACTCTGTACATAAACTTGTTTGCTACATAGGAAATTTTAACTATTCTATTTTATTAGGTTCTACAAGTTCTTTTCGTTTTGAAACTATGTATAAATATCTGGCAAGTCCTGAGCCGGTGCATTTGCTCCTTTGGTCTATTTGTCAATTTTGAGTTTGCATTTCTAACAAATTGAACTTAAATTCAACATGTTGAAATGAAAGTTTCATCTTGAGGAGCACAAGTCATAAACCATTCAATGTTTTTTGATGAAACTTTGTATGCACATCAAGGTGTGTTCAGGTGAGCTGTTTCTCCGGAAACACTGTTCAGGAAGTTTTCACTATCTTTTGGAAATGAGATGAGATAAGCATTAAGTATGAGTCAGGATAAGTACAAATTATATGTTTACTTACAAAAGTATATTTTTGCTGTTATGAAATTGTGTTTTTGAGTTTAAAAAAATTGTTTGTAGCATTGCTCTCATATGAAACGTTAAGTCCAGTACTCTATCTTATTCCAGTCTTTGTTGAGCCGGACCCTGGTGTGTTAAGGGCACGCTTAGATTTATCTTTTGTACAAAGCACCTTGTGAGAATAGATATTATACAAAGCTATATTAATGTTCCTCAGCAATAGTAATCTCAACAAACAAGTTAAATTAACATACATACATACACGCTTATTTTACGGTATGTTTCATCTAACAAACTTGGTAATTCTGAAATTGAATACAGTGTTATCAATTTCAGTTAAGAGGAACAGAGAAAACTTTTGAAATTACAACCACTTCTTTTCTCTAGGTCATGGTCACATGTTTGAAGATGGATTAGAAGTACTCTGATTGTTGTAACACACCAAATGGCACACCTAAACATTTGGATAAATAACTTGTGACACATTTGAAAAACATAAATTATTTGCCTTGTTATTTAGTAATTTCTGTTCTCTAATAATCACCAGGGTGATAAATTTGTATGTTCTATATCTCAGTTTCGCCGGAGCTCAGTGGCCTGACTGCAAGTTGCATCCAGGAAGAGGAGAGCTTTGTGGTGGCATGTACAGGGTTGCAGAACCATGGGGCACCTGCTGTTGTCCTCACACTTAATGTAAGTACCAGAACCATGGGGCACCTGCTGTTGTCCTCACACTTAATGTAAGTACCAGAACCATGGGGCACCTGTTGTCCTCACACTTAATGTAAGTACCAGAACCATGGGGCACCTGCTGTTGTCCTCACACTTAATGTAAGTACCAGAACCATGGGGCACCTGCTGTTGTCCTCACACTTAATGTAAGTACCAGAACCATGGGGCACCTGTTGTTGTCCTCACACTTAATGTAAGTACCAGAACCATGGGGCACCTGCTCTTGTCCTCACACTGAATGTAAGTACCAGAACCATGGGGCACCTGTTGTCCTCACACTTAATGTAAGTACCAGAACCATGGGGCACCTGCTGTTGTCCTCACACTGAATGTAAGTACCAGAACCATGGGGCACCTGCTGTTGTCCTCACACTTAATGTAAGTACCAGAACCATGGGGCACCTGCTGTTGTCCTCACACTGAATGTAAGTACCAGAACCATGGGGCACCTGCTGTTGTCCTCACACTTAATGTAAGTACCAGAACCATGGGGCACCTGCTGTTGTCCTCACACTTAATGTAAGTACCAGAACCTTGGGGCACCTGTTGTTGTCCTCACACTGAATGTAAGTACCAGAACCATGGGGCACCTGCTGTTGTCCTCACACTTAATGTAAGTACCAGAACCATGGGGCACCTGCTGTTGTCCTCACACTTAATGTAAGTACCAGAACCATGGGGCACCTGTTGTCCTCACACTGAATGTAAGTACCAGAACCATGGGGCACCTGCTGTTGTCCTCACACTGAATGTAAGTACCAGAACCATGGGGCACCTGTTGTCCTCACACTTAATGTAAGTACCAGAACCATGGGGCACCTGCTGTTGTCCTCACACTTAATGTAAGTACCAGAACTATGGGGCACCTGTTGTTGTCCTCACACTGAATGTAAGTACCAGAACCATGGGGCACCTGCTGTTGTCCTCACACTGAATGTAGTACCAGAACCATGGGGCACCTGTTGTCCTCACACTTAATGTAGTACCAGAACAATGGGGCACCTGTTGTTGTCCTCACACTGAATGTAAGTACCAGAACTATGGGGCAGCTGTTGTCCTCACACTGAATGTAAGTACCAGAACCATGGGGCACCTGCTGTTGTCCTCACACTTAATGTAAGTACCAGAACCATGGGGCACCTGCTCTTGTCCTCACACTGAATGTAAGTACCAGAACCATGGGGCACCTGCTGTTGTCCTCACACTGAATGTAAGTACCAGAACCTTGGGGCACCTGCTGTTGTCCTCACACTTAATGTAAGTACCAGAACCATGGGGCACCTGCTGTTGTCCTCACACTTAATGTAAGTACCAGAACCATGGGGCACCTGTTGTTGTCCTCACACTTAATGTAAGTACCAGAACCATGGGGCACCTGTTGTCCTCACACTAAATGTAAGTACCAGAACCATGGGGCACCTGTTGTCCTCACACTTAATGTAAGTACCAGAACCATGGGGCACCTGCTGTTGTCCTCACACTTAATGTAAGTACCAGAACCATGGGGCACCTGTTGTCCTCACACTTAATGTAAGTACCAGAACCATGGGGCACCTGTTGTTGTCCTCACACTGAATGTAAGTACCAGAACCATGGGGCACCTGCTGTTGTCCTCACACTTAATGTAAGTACCAGAACCATGGAGCACCTGCAGTTGTCCTCACACTGAATGTAAGTACCAGAACCATGGGGCACCTGCTGATGTCCTCACACTGAATGTAAGTACCAGAACCATGGGGCACCTGCTGTTGTCCTCACACTGAATGTAAGTACCAGAACCATGGGGCACCTGCTGTTGTCCTCACACTGAATGTAAGTACCAGAACCATAGGGCACCTGCTCTTGTCCTCACACTGAATGTAAGTACCAGAACCATGGGGCACCTGCTGTTGTCCTCACACTGAATGTAAGTACCAGAACCATAGGGCACCTGCTCTTGTCCTCACACTGAATGTAAGTACCAGAACCATGGGGCACCTGCTGTTGTCCTAACACTGAATGTAAATACTAGAACCATGGGGCACCTGCTGTTGTCCTCACACTTAATGTAAGTACCAGAACCATGGGGCACCTGCTGTTGTCCTCACACTGAATGTAAGTACCAGAACCATGGGGCACCTGTTGTCCTCACACTTAATGTAAGTACCAGAACCATGGGGCACCTGCTGTTGTCCTCACACTGAATGTAAGTACCAGAACCATGGGGCACCTGCTGTTGTCCTCACACTGAATGTAAGTACCAGAACCATAGGTCACCTGCTCTTGTCCTCACACTGAATGTAAGTACCAGAACCATGGGGCACCTGCTGTTGTCCTCACACTGAATGTAAATACTAGAACCATGGGGCACCTGCTGTTGTCCTCACACTTAATGTAAGTACCAGAACCATGGGGCACCTGCTGTTGTCCTCACACTTAATGTAAGTACCAGAACTATGGGGCACCTGTTGTTGTCCTCACACTGAATGTAAGTACCAGAACCATGGGGCACCTGCTGTTGTCCTCACACTGAATGTAAGTACCAGAACCATGGGGCACCTGCTGTTGTCCTCACACTGAATGTAAGTACCAGAACCATAGGTCACCTGCTCTTGTCCTCACACTGAATGTAAGTACCAGAACCATGGGGCACCTGCTGTTGTCCTCACACTGAATGTAAATACTAGAACCATGGGGCACCTGCTGTTGTCCTCACACTTAATGTAAGTACCAGAACCATGGGGCACCTGCTGTTGTCCTCACACTTAATGTAAGTACCAGAACTATGGGGCACCTGTTGTTGTCCTCACACTGAATGTAAGTACCAGAACCATGGGGCACCTGCTGTTGTCCTCACACTTAATGTAAGTACCAGAACTATGGGGCACCTGTTGTTGTCCTCACACTTAATGTAAGTACCAGAACCATGGGGCACCTGTTGTCCTCACACTGAATGTAAGTACCAGAACCATGGGGCACTTGCTGTTGTCCTCACACTTAATGTAAGTACCAGAACCTTGGGGCACCGCGCTGTTGTCCTCACACTTAATGTAAGTACCAGAACCATGGGGCACCTGCTGTTGTCCTCACACTTAATGTAAGTACCAGAACCATGGGGCACCTGCTGTTGTCCTCACACTGAATGTAAGTACCAGAACCTTGGGGCACCTGCTGTTGTCCTCACACTGAATGTAAGTACCAGAACCATGGGGCACCTGTTGTTGTCCTCACACTTAATGTAAGTACCAGAACCATGGGGCACCTGGTGTTGTCCTCACACTGAATGTAAGTACCAGAACCATGGGGCACCTGCTGTTGTCCTCACACTGAATGTAAATACTAGAACCATGGGGCACCTGCTGTTGTCCTCACACTTAATGTAAGTACCAGAACCATGGGGCACCTGTTGTTGTCCTCACACTTAATGTAAGTACCAGAACCATGGGGCACCTGTTGTCCTCACACTTAATGTAAGTACCAGAACCATGGGGCACCTGTTGTTGTCCACACACTTAATGTAAGTACCAGAACCATGGGGCACCTGCTGTTGTCCTCACACTGAATGTAAGTACCAGAACCATGGGGCACCTGTTGTTGTCCTCACACTTAATGTAAGTACCAGAACCATGGGGCACCTGTTGTTGTCCTCACACTGAATGTAAGTACCAGAACCATGGGGCACCTGCTGTTGTCCTCACACTTAATGTAAGTACCAGAACCATGGGGCACCTGTTGTTGTCCTCACACTTAATGTAAGTACCAGAACCATGGGGCACCTGTTGTCCTCACACTTAATGTAAGTACCAGAACCATGGGGCACCTGCTGTTGTCCTCACACTGAATGTAAGTACCAGAACCATGGGGCACCTGTTGTCCTCACACTTAATGTAAGTACCAGAACCATGGGGCACCTGCTGTTGTCCTCACACTTAATGTAAGTACCAGAACCATGGGGCACCTGTTGTTGTCCTCACACTGAATGTAAGTACCAGAACCATGGGGCACCTGTTGTTGTCCTCACACTTAATGTAAGTACCAGAACCATGGGGCACCTGTTGTCCTCACACTTAATGTAAGTACCAGAACCATGGGGCACCTGTTGTTGTCCTCACACTTAATGTAAGTACCAGAACCATGGGGCACCTGCTGTTGTCCTCACACTGAATGTAAGTACCAGAACCATGGGGCACCTGCTGTTGTCCTCACACTGAATGTAAGTACCAGAACCATGGGGCACCTGCTGTTGTCCTCACACTGAATGTAAGTACCATAACCATGGGGCACCTGTTGTTGTCCTCACACTGAATGTAAGTACCAGAACCATGGGGCACCTGATGTCCTCACACTTAATGTAAGTACCAGAACCATGGGGCACCTGCTGTTGTCCTCACACTTAATGTAAGTACCAGAACCATGGGGCACCTGTTGTTGTCCTCACACTTAATGTAAGTACCAGAACCATGGGGCACCTGCTGTTGTCCTCACACTGAATGTAAGTACCAGAACCATGGGGCACCTGCTCTTGTCCTCACACTGAATGTAAGTACCAGAACCATGGGGCACCTGTTGTTGTCCTCACACTTAATGTAAGTACCAGAACCATGGGGCACCTGTTGTCCTCACACTTAATGTAAGTACCAGAACCTTGGGGCACCTGCTCTTGTCCTCACACTTAATGTAAGTACCAGAACCATGGGGCACCTGTTGTCCTCACACTGAATGTAAGTACCAGAACCATGGGGCACCTGTTGTTGTCCTCACACTGAATGTAAGTACCAGAAGCATGGGGCACCTGCTGTTGTCCTCACACTTAATGTAAGTACCAGAACCATGGGGCACCTGCTGTTGTCCTCACACATAATGTAGTACCAGAACCATGGGGCACCTGCTGTTGTCCTCACACTGAATGTAAGTACCAGAACCATGGGGCACCTGTTGTCCTCACACTGAATGTAAGTACCAGAACCATGGGGCACCTGCTGTTGTCCTCACACTGAATGTAAGTACCAGAACCTTGGAGCACCTGTTGTTGTCCTCACACTGAATGTAAGTACCAGAACCATGGGGCACCTGCTGTTGTCCTCACACTGAATGTAAGTACCAGAACCATGGGGCACCTGCTGTTGTCCTCACACTGAATGTAAGTACCAGAACCTTGGAGCACGTGCTGTCGTCCTCACACTTAATGTAAGTACCAGAACCATGGGGCACCTGCTGTTGTCCTCACACTTAATGTAAGAACCAGAACCATGGGGCACCTGCTGTTGTCCTCACACTGAATGTAAGTACCAGAACCATGTGGCACCTGCTGATGTCCTCACACTTAATGTAAGTAGTAGAACCTTGGGGCACCTGCTCTTGTCCTCACACTGAATGTAAGTACCAGAACCATGGGGCACCTGCTGTTGTCCTCACACTGAATGTAAGTACCAGAACCATGGGGCACCTGTTGTTGTCCTCACACTGAATGTAAGTACCAGAACCTTGGGGCACCTGCTGTTGTCCTCACACTTAATGTAAGTACCAGAACCATGGGGCACCTGGTGTTGTCCTCACACTGAATGTAAGTACCAGAACCTTGGGGCACCTGTTAATACAGCAGAATGCCAAAGTGAAGCAACAAAGTTTTGGGACCTGTGAAGATCCGGGGTAGAAAAGGTCTTGAACAACCCATGCTTGCTGGTAAAGGTAACTGTGCTTGCTAACGGGATCAGGTGATCAGGCTCACTGACTTGGTTGAAGCATGTCATAGATCCCAATTGCGTGGATCGATGCTCATGATATCAATCACTGGATTGTCTAGTCCAGGCTCATTTATTTACAGTCCACCGTCATATGTTTGGAATATTGCTGAGTGTGGCAATAAACAACCAACCAACCAACACAGTTTTTGAGGGACCAACTGGAAGGCATGAAGCTTATTTTGTAACAGATGAGATTATCAGCTGGGAACACTGCTTTTATGATTGGCGTTAGGGCCCAGTCACACATTCAGGATTTTTACGTCCGTCCTTGATGGGACCATTCCTGATTAGAATTTGTCAAAAGTCTGATCAAGATCCTGTAATTCGTGGCGGGAAATTCACAAATTTGTAAAAACATTTATTTAATCACAACAACAATCAAATATTGTTCAGGAAGCATCTCGATTCAGCTGTTTCCAGCGGAATTTGTCCTGATTCTTCCATTCTCAATCCGAATCTGATCCAATTTGTATATTCCGCATGGTAAAAAACGACCGAATCTGTCCCGACAGCATCCCAATTCTCCCAAATGTGATCAGACAGAGATGGACAGTGACTGGACAGTTGACCGACAAAGACCGTTCGCATTCGGCAAGATCTGGTTGCAATCTGGACTCAATCGACAAGAAACGGCGATAAACAATTCATGCCCGTTCATCACGACAGCTTCCCGATCCACAGGACACCGCCACACAACACAGGACATTGTTACCATTTTGATCTGCAGAGCTCCAGATAAGCTTTTGGTGTTGTGGGTATTTTACACATGCATTTAAAAATCATTGGGTATCAGTAATTCTATCTGGGTATTCAAATTTCTGTTACCCACTAGTTTTTACCTGTGGGTATTTAAGTTAAATATTTATAAACACTATATATCTAGTCCCTCCAAACTGGTGTCGTGTGGGTTTGAGAGCTTTATAGGACTAAAAAATACCATGATACTTCCACAAGAAAGTGTGATGGCAAATGATGATGATGTAACTGTCATCGTGGAGTTTGGCAAGGTTGACGGAATGCCCGTCTATAATTTCAAAATAAGTTGCAGATTTGCTAATCAAATACGCAGGTTTACTTCACAATATTTTGATGATACGCACAAGTTTTATTTTGTAGCGTATCTGTAATGTTCATTGCGTAGGTGATTGCGCTGCCTAGCTGATCTCAAACAGGAGCCATAGTCGGCACTGTGTGAACGCCTTAGTAGATCTCGAAAGAAGATTGTACTCCAGCTTATATACTTAGTTTGAAATGTCAGGTAGTTACTTGGCAAAACCAATCTATTATGTATGTATTAATGGTGTTTTAGCCAACACAATGTCTAATATTAGGGAAATATTTTGGGTGTTTCAGGGAAGCACTTTTGCTGAGTCGACATCAGTTGGTTCTAGTCTCTCCATGAAGGACACCAAGCTGAATGGAGAGGTCTTCATGTGCTCAGTAACTGGAGCAGCTACTGTGTGCCTTGATGCCAGCACTGTCACACAGATATACACGACATGCCCAGGTCAGTACCTCCAGCACTGTCACACAGATATACACGACGTGCCCAGGTCAGTACCTCCAGCACTGTCACACAGATATACATGACATGCCCAGGTCAGTACCTCCAGCACTGTCACACAGATATAAACAACGTGCCCAGGTCAGTACCTCCAGCACTGTTACACAGATATACAGGACATGCCCAGGTCAGTACCTCCAGCACTGTCACACGGATATCCACGACATGCCCAGGTCAGTACCTCCAGCACTGTCACACAGATATACATGACATGCCCAGGTCAGTACAGCCAGCTCTGTCACACAGATATAAACGACGTGCCCAGGTCAGTACCTCAATCACTGTCACACAGATATACACGACATGCCCATGTCAGTACCTCCAGCACTGTCACACAGATATACATGACATGCCCAAGTCAGTACCTCCAGCACTGTCACACAGATATACACGACATGCCCAGGTCAGTACCTCCAGCACTGTCACGCAGATACACACGACGTGCCCAGGTCAGTACCTCCAGCACTGTCACACAGATATACACAACATGCCCAGTTCAGTACAGCCAGCACTGTCACACAGATATACACGACATGCCCAGTTCAGTACAGCCAGCACTGTCACACAGATATACACGACGTGCCCAGGTCAGTACCTCCAGCACTGTCACACAGATATACACGACGTGCCCAGGTCAGTACCTCCAGCACTGTCACACAGATATACACGACGTGCCCAGGTCAGTACCTCCAGCACTGTCACACAGATATACACGACGTGCCCAGGTCAGAACAGCCAGCACTGTCACACAGATATACACGACGTGCCCAGGTCAGAACAGCCAGCACTGTCACACAGATATACACGACGTGCCCATGTCAGTACAGCCAGCACTGTCACACAGATATACCCGACATGCCCAGGTCAGTACCTCCAGCACTGTCACACAGATATACACGACGTGCCCAGGTCAGTACCTCCAGCACTGTCACACAGATATACCCGACATGCCCAGGTCAGTACCTCCAGCACTGTCACACAGATATACCCGACATGCCCAAGTCAGTACCTCCAGCACTGTCACACAGATATACACGACATGCCCAGGTCAGTACCTCAAGCACTGTCACACAGATATACCCGACATGCCCAGGTCAGTACCTCCAGCACTGTCACACAGATATACCCGACATGCCCAGGTCAGTACCTCCAGCACTGTCACACAGATATACAAGACATGCCTACATCAGTACAGCCAGCACTGTCACACAGATATACACGACATGCCCAGGTCAGTTCCTCAAGCACTGTCACACAGATATACCCGACATGCCCAGGTCAGTACCTCCAGCACTGTCACACAGATATACACGACATGCCTACCTCAGTACAGCCAGCACTGTCACACAGATATACACAACGTGCCCAGCGCCAGCTTGGACCCTCGCAATTCACAACCCAACACAGGTATTCCAATATACTTGTAGCTTTACTTCTCAGTAATGGCCAAACAACATGTGAGGAGAAGACGACACAAGCCAAGGGAGGTAACTCTCCCACTACCTAGGCAGTCTGCCGCTAAACATAAACAACGGTCGCCAACCACACTGGCGCAACCTCCTTTTTTCTTTGTAACACATTACCTGATATGGGTTACTATTAAAGTCTCATACTGTCATAAACAATACCAAAAATAACTGGTCACAATAAAACTTAAAACCTGATGTAGATATCCTTGACATCACGTGATATAAGCTGATACGACACCATAACTATAGCCTAAATGTGAAAAGGTATCCAGACACAGTTGATGGACATAGCAACATAAACATGTTAGAAATCGGTTACATAGTCGTTGAGGTGTTGAGGTGGTCGCCGTGCACGGATTGACCTCCTTTGTGCACTGACTGGAGTTGAATACACGGTATCATCAGTGTCATCTGTATTCACAATGTCATTGTCACTAACATTTTCACGCAAGGAGTCCTGATTATCAAGAGGAGGATGTTCTGGTGGGTTGACTAAAATGTCTTGGTCATGGTATGGTTCATTTAGCACTGGGGGAACGATGGGAAGGGTAGGTGGTTCAGTCCTTTGGGGAACAGTATCTATCTCACCATCAGAAGACTCATCGCACACATATTGCTGAGGAAGTCCACTTGACCGTTCATGTTGACATGGAACTCTGAAGCACTCTGATTTTTTTACTCTATATGATGTGCTTCGAAGTTGGGAACCCACAAACTTCTGAATGTTGCACCATTCACCATCGTTAACAACCACAAGGTATCGATCTCGTGACCGTGATTTATTACGATCTGCATGTAGATATACCAGGTCACCAATGCTGATGTTAGGGGTGGGCAGGCTAGGGATATGGGCTTTAGACATCTCACTGTGTAGGTGATTGGTAGTTCGCCGGTGATGTTGGTCAAGGATCAATTTTCTGTCTCCAACGGGTATTTGGTGGTTGTTAAATTGATCTCTTTGTGTCCACATTTCCCTGGCGGATAACCCTCTGGATCGGATGCGAGAATTTAGTTGAGCAGTGGCTATAGCTAGGGTTATAGGTGTGACCGACCCCCCCAAAGGATCAATTTTTAACAATTCCAGCTCCAGCTCTTGAATAGCTTGCTCGGCTACGGGATTCTTGTTCTTGTTCTTTATTCGACCAATTTCAATGCAAAGACGTTGACTTCGGAGAAGGTCATCTTGAACTAAGGCCTTAAACCCTGGAGCTGGGTCTGTTCTGATGACCGCCGGGGGTCCATCTAATGGTCTCATCTCAATACTTAGGCGAATCAAAGCCTCACGTAGGGTTCCCTTTTGCTCATTTTCAATGGCACATGTACAGGTGAAAGATGTGACACATTCTCTCAACACAAGTATGAGTTGTCGTTCTCTTTTTATTACATCTGCAGCAAACGCGGCTCCAATGATCTCTGGGGGATCAGTAGATGACTGAGCCACAACTGTGTGGGGAACCTGTTGAAGAGATGTACAGTGATAACATCGGCTTGAAACTTTAGTTATTGCTTGATCCATGTCCAAAGCATAGAAGTAGCGGTTCACAACGAGTTTCAACTGGTGGGCAGAAGGATGATTTAACTGGATGTGCATTGCAGTCAGTAATCCATCCAAGACTTGTCGTGGAATGACGATGCACTCTCTGATGGTAACAAGGGGCTCATTTCTTTGAATCACCAACACACCATCTTTGGCGATGGTCACAGACTGTAGATAACGTTTTACGTCTTTAACATCAGTTTGTTTCTTGGATGGGCGAGTGCCCTGTATGAGATGAGCATGTGTGCGTCTGAGATCAGAACACTCTGACTGGATGGCGAGCCATGCATTCCTGTTGGTGTATGGCAGTTTAGATTTCCCTGACATGATGTCCTGAACAGAAGTACCACGTACCGTACAGTCCTCAGTTTGACGAATGAATGAGCAAATCTGACACAGGGGCTCGTCACACTTGGATGCATTTCTACTGGCAAAATCAGATGGAATATTTGCAGAACCACTGAGATGGCGAACAGAGGCCTGGTATCTACTCACTGTCGACAAAAAGGTAGACACTCTGGGGCTTGCTGAAAACTCTCCACGACACAACTTTTCATATGCTTGAACACATGGTTTACTGTCAGTCAGGATACATGCTTGTAGGCTTGACTGTACAAGGTAAGGACTAAAGTGCTTGGTGGCAACAGCTATAGATAGTGCTTCTATTTCACACGGTAGCCATGTCATTTGACGCTGGCGCAGTTTGGCACTGAAGAAACCAGCGAGGAGAGTACTGTTGTTCCTTGTAATGTAGAGAGTAGCACCTATGCCATGGTTTTTCACTGCTCCATCTGTAACGATCCATAGCTGGTCATCCCTCCGAGGAAGAACAATGGTTTTATGTGAGGATAGTGCAGATTGAGCATTTCCAAAGGCACAGATAAGTACCTCTGACCAAACTATTCTCTCTGCTGAAGGACGTCCAGCTTGAAGAGTGTCCAATGGACCCAATAGTCCAGCACAACCTGGTATTACCCGGGCTAACACTTTGTAGGCTCCAATAAACGACCTCAAACCCTTGACTGTAGATGGACGGGTGCAACTAGAGAGGGTGGAAATTCTGTGAGGACTTGCTTGAATTGAGCCATTTTTCCAAATCCATCCTAAGATGGTCACACTAGAAGGGCCGACAGTTGTCTTGGCAGCTGAAAGCTTTAATCCATTGAATTGCAAGGCCTGTAGAACACGTCGCCAGTTGTTCAGAAGCTCGTCTACGGTATTACCTCCACAATACAAGTCATCTGCCAACTTGGCCACTGATCCTTCCTTGAGCAAGTGCCCAAGCACACGACACATCAATTCTTCTAACGCAGTTTCAGAGCCCGGCATGCCCATGGCTGATCGGGCATAAACACGGACTCCACGGAAGGGAGTGGCCACACCACAATATTTCATTGATCCACGTGACAGGGGTATTTGGTAAAAAGCATTTGTCAAATCTGTGGTTATGATGTACTTCCATGCAGCTATCTGGCGTAATGTAGAATCAACATCAGGCATGAGTGATGGTTGTGGTTTACTATACCGCCCCACATCTGTGAATGCTGTAACCAGACGAAATCCACCATTTGACTTCTTGACAAGGAAGGATGGATTTAAATATTCCACTGATATCCCCACATCTTCAGGCTTGACGAAGACACCAATGTCCTCAAGCTCATCGAATTTGTCTTGCAACTCTACAAGTTTGTCACGTGAGTATTGTGGGACTCGTCCCTTGCGTTGAGGGGGTTGGACAGGACCCATGTTGACAACTGCCTTGAACGGGCCAGATTTTCCATTATATCCATGGACATGTGGATTAAACACATCATCGTACTCCTTTATGAGGGCGTGGAAACTGTTGCGAGTGTCTGGTGTGAACTGGTTATCTGGGTCAATGCGTACCTGTTCTGAACAATTGACCTTGCATGTAGTAGTGGACTGTCTGAGAGGAATGCTTTCTGATTGACTATCGACCATCTCGGTCCCAGAGTTTGGGATGGTGAATACTTGTTGAACCTGGCAAAAGTGCTCATGCTTCTTGAGGACAAGAGGCTCTTTGGTGTCATTAGGAATTCTAATCTTCCCTGAAACGCTGGACACTATATCTGGTGTTGGCCATTCTTTGTGGTCTTTGAATAAATCACCTGTTAGACGTGGTTCCACTGCGAATGTGTCATCTGAGTGGATCAGGTCATCCGGGAGTGATAACTCTATGAAATCGCCAGGCCAGATTGTTGTAGGGGACTTAGGCGCTCGTAAGACATGTGCACGTCTTACTGTATGGTGTGACGAGTGGGTTTCTTGGTTGCCGTACTGGAAGGTGGTTCCATCTCCAAGTGTAATTTGGCGCTTAGCTGGGCGAACGGCAACATCATTTATTTCCATGAACGGTGTTCCTGCAAGCAACTCGACATCAAGGTTCTCCACAACAAGGCCCTCGAAAATAAAATCCTTATTGTCACGGCTGAGAGTTACTCGTGTTTCACCAACAATATGGAGTGGGGATGAACCATCAGCCTGATGGGCAGATTGTGAACTTTTGGTAACTTCAATGCCGAGTCTCCTGGCAGTAGTCTGACTGATCATATTACCTGTAGCTCCACTGTCGAGGGTAAGACATATGACATTATGACCATAAAATGCGTTCATATATGGAGACTGACGTACACTGACTCTATTGACTGAAGCATTGTTTACACTTGAGGCAGTAACGGGAGGTGTAGATACTGTGTCTGTATGAGGGGACTGTCCATCTTCATCCTCTGACTCATCCAGGATGCTAGCTATTTGACGTGCCTTAGCCATGTATTTTCTGTCTTGATCAGGTAAGTATGAACATTCACTGAGAAAGTGATTGTCATTAGGACGACCAGCTGTGTGACAGAGGGGACACATTTTTGAGGTTGACTGGTAACGACGTTTATTGGATGTCTGCTGTATGCGAGGTCTAAAATTAGATCTTTGACTGAAGTTGTTTGCTCTAGTGGTAGCAGTCCTCATGACCTTGGCATCCTCAGATGAATGTATTTCATCTAACAGGGAATTGAGTGCCTGTGATATCTCAGGTTTAATTGACGCTAGAGTACGGGATCTCAGTTCCGTTCCATATCGTTGCTTCACCAGCTTGGGCAAATCAGGATGGATAAGGCGCAACCAAGTCAGGATAATAATGTTCTCTAACGTAGGTGTTAATTCCTCATCCTCGCCAATCGCCTCTCCATGATGAGTGATTCCGCCATTTTATCTGAGCAGATTATCTTCCATAAATGCAGACAGGCGCTGGTAAAGATCCTCTGGTCGCTCCTCAGGTTGGAGATGTATGTCACACAAATCAAGAAAATGTGCACCAGATGACTGGAAGCCGTAGTGTAGTCTGATAGTCTGCCAGATACTTGAAATCGATACTGAACTTTTCACAATGGTGTTCCTGGCAATTACAGGACAATAATTGGCGATTTGGCCCAACATTAACTCGAGTGATGTTACCTTTTGCGCTGCAGTCTTGCGTTGAGCTCCAGCAACGTCTTCCCCATCATTTTCAAATCCTCGTAACGGGGTTGCACGTGTACGTTTTCCCCACGTGGCGCCGTCAGCAAGAAATGTTGCAAAATTCGTGTCCAGTGATAACGTATATAGTAGGTTTTGTTTCCAATTCTCAAACGAATTAACAGTTTCATGTTTCGTGAATGACCACTGTTTCGGTGCTCTGTGAGTGTTTGCCATGATGTTATGCTAGTAGGCCTACTTGAAATACCCGCGCTATCGTGGCGATGTCGACCAGGTAGATTGCACACTTATTCGTGTAGTAACTGCGAAAGTCAGGTTAAGTGCCGTGTTCAGAGATGCGGATGATCGTCTCCGCTGCCACCACGCCAGCTTGGACCCTCGCAATTCACAACCCAACACAGGTATTCCAATATACTTGTAGCTTTACTTCTCAGTAATGGCCAAACAACATGTGAGGAGAAGACGACACAAGCCAAGGGAGGTAACTCTCCCACTACCTAGGCAGTCTGCCGCTAAACATAAACAACGGTCGCCAACCACACTGGCGCAGGTCAGTACCTCCAGCACTGTCACACAGATATACATGACACGACCAGGTCAGTACCTCCAGCACTGCCACACAGATATACACGACATGCCCAGGTCAGTATAGCCAGCACTGTCACACAGATATACACGACATGCCCAGGTCAGTACCTCCAGCATTGTGTCACAGATATACATGATGCGCACAGGTTAGTACCTCCAGCACTGTCACACATACATACACGAAGTGCACAGGTTAGTACCTCCAGCACTGTCACACAGATATACACGACATGCCCAGGTCAGTGCCTCCAGCACTGCCACACAGATATACACTACGTGCACAGGTCAGTACCTCCAGCACTGTCACACAGATATACACGACATGCCCAAGTCAGTATCACCAGTACAGGTATATCCTAAAGCTGTTATTGTTACAGGTATATCCTATATCTGTCATTGTTACAGGTATATCGTGCAGGTCGATCAACACGTACCTGATTGTTGGCGAAGTTATTCTGTGGATCTCAGGCCTCACGAACCTCATTGTGTTGTACCTCGGCTCTACAGGCGAGCGTGTCTGTAAGTACAAAGTGATGGCTCCATACTGTGTTGTACCTCGGCTCTACAGGCGAGCGTGTCTGTAAGTACAAAGTGATGGCTCCATACTGTGTTGTACCTCGGCTCTACAGGCGAGCGTGTCTGTAAGTACAATGTGATGGCTCCATACTGTGTTGTACCTCGGCTCTACAGGCGAGCGTGTCTGTAAGTACAATGTGATGGCTCCATACTGTGTTGTACCTCGGCTCTACAGGCGAGCGTGTCTGTAAGTACAATGTGATGGCTCCATGCTGTGTTGTACCTCGGCTCTACAGGCGAGCGTGTCTGTAAGTACAAAGTGATGGCTCCATACTGTGTTGTACCTCGGCTCTACAGGCGAGCGTGTCTGTAAGTACAAAGTGATGGCTCCATACTGTGTTGTACCTCGGCTCTACAGGCGAGCGTGTCTGTAAGTACTGTGTTGTACCTCGGCTCTACAGGCGAGCGTGTCTGTAAGTACAAAGTGATGGCTCCATACTGTTTTGTACCTCGGCTCTACAGGCGAGCGTGTCTGTAAGTACTGTGTTGTACCTCGGCTCTACAGGTGAGCGTGTCTGTAAGTACAATGTGATGGCTCCATACTGTGTTGTACCTTAGCTCTACAGGCGAGCGTGTCTGTAAGTACAATGTGATGGCTCCATACTGTGTTGTACCTCGGCTCTACAGGCGAGCGTGTCTGTAAGTACTGTGTTGTACCTCGGCTCTACAGGCGAGCGTGTCTGTAAGTACAATGTGATGGCTCCATACTGTGTTGTACCTCGGCTCTACAGGCGAGCGTGTCTGTAAGTACAATGTGATGGCCTACACTGTCCCAAAGCGCACATGTGTAACCCAGAAAATAAAACAAATTGTAATTTGTATGTGGTACCTTCAAAATCATTGAGAATAGGGCACATTTCAGTTTAAATATTTATGTACTATAAAGAAAAAAAAAACATATGATGAAATCAAAACTAGTATTACGTTTTCACAACAATGGCTTCCTGAAAGATTTGTTATTGTTTTAAAGGAACAAGGGGTATCAAGCTGACACAATTGTTGATATAATACAGTGGTAAAATTATTTTTATATTTATATTTTTTATGATTAATCTTTTCAAGGTAATAGCGACATTGTAATATATAAAGAAGTAGGTCAGTGGATACATGCTGATATTCTTAACATTGAAACCCATGCGTGCGTGTCTTTGTTATTTTGAACCATGAACCATACTTCTCTATGAGAGAGCCTGTGAAGATCCGGGGTAGAATAGGTCTTCAGCAACCCATGCTTGCCGTGAAGATCCGGGGTAGAATAGGTCTTTAGCAACCCATGCTTGCCGTGAAGATCCGGGGTAGAATAGGTCTTTAGCAACCCATGCTTGCCGTGAAGATCCGGGGTAGAATAGGTCTTCAGCAACCCATGCTTGCTGTAAAAGGCAACTATGCTTGTTGGAAGAGGCGACTGACGGGATCGGGTGGTCAGGCTCCCTTACTTGGTTGATGCATGTCATCGTATCCCTATTGGGTGGATTGATGCTCATGTTGTCAATCACTGGATTGGCTGGTCCAGACTCAATAACTTACAGACCGCTGTCATATAGCTGGAATATTGCTGAGTGCAGTGTTAAACAACAAACAAGTGCAGCTGCAGTGCAGTGCTGTATGGGGAGGGGTCTGATAGAGACAGACTGGTGCCCTGCCCCCCCAGCAGTGCAGTGCTGTATGGGGAGGGGTCAGATAGAGACAGACTGGTGCCCTGCCCCCCCAGCAGTGCAGTGCTGTATGGGGAGGGGTCGGATAGAGACAGACTGGTGCCCTGTACCCCCAGCAGTGCAGTGCTGTATGGGGAGGGGTCTGATAGAGACAGACTGGTGCCCTGCCCCCCCAGCAGTGCAGTGCTGTATGGGGAGGGGTCAGATAGAGACAGACTGGTGCCCTGCCCCCCCAGCAGTGCAGTGCTGTATGGGGAGGGGTCGGATAGAGACAGACTGGTGCCCTGTACCCCAAGCAGTGCAGTGCTGTATGGGGAGGGGTCTGATAGAGACAGACTTGTGCCCTGCCCTCCCAGCAGTGCAGTGCTGTATGGGGAGGGGTCGGATAGAGACAGACTGGTGCCCTGTACCCCCAGCAGTGCAGTGCTGTATGGGGAGGGGTCGGATAGAGACAGACTGGTGCCCTGCCCTCCCCAACAGTGCAGTGCTGTATGCGGAGGGGTCTGATAGAGACGGACTGGTGCCCTGCCCCCCCAGCAGTGCAGTGCTGTATGGGGAGGGGTCGGATAGAGACAGACTGGTGCCCTGTACCCCCAGCAGTGCAGTGCTGTATGGGGAGGGGTCTGATAGAGACAGACTTGTGCCCTGCCCTCCCAGCAGTGCAGTGCTGTATGGGGAGGGGTCGGATAGAGACAGACTGGTGCCCTGTACTCCCAGCAGTGCAGTGCTGTATGGGGAGGGGTCGGATAGAGACAGACTGGTGCCCTGCCCTCCCCAACAGTGCAGTGCTGTATGCGGAGGGGTCTGATAGAGACGGACTGGTGCCCTGCCCCCCCAGCGGTGCAGTGCTGTATGCGGAGGGGTCTGATAGAGACGGACTGGTGCCCTGCCCTCCCCAACAGTGCAGTGCTGTATGCGGAGGGGTCTGATAGAGACGGACTGGTGCCCTGCCCCCCCAGCGGTGCAGTGCTGTATGGGGAGGGGTCTGATAGAGACAGACTGGTGCCCTGCCCTCCCAGCGGTGCAGTGCAGTGCTGTATGGGGAGGGGTCTGATAGAGACAGACTGGTGCCCTGCCCCCCCAGCGGTGCAGTGCTGTATGGGGAGGGGTCTGATAGAGACAGACTGGTGCCCTGCCCTCCCAGCGGTGCAGTGCAGTGCTGTATGGGGAGGGGTCTGATAGAGACAGACTGGTGCCCTGCCCCCCCAGCGGTGCAGTGCTGTATGGGGAGGGGTCGGATAGAGACAGACTGGTGCCCTGCCCCCCCAGCAGTGCAGTGCTGTATGGGGAGGGGTCGGATAGAGACAGACTGGTGCCCTGCCCTCCCAGCAGCTGCAGTAGGAACGTTTAAAGAAATATAAAGTTATTTAAGTATTTCATATATACGCATATCATTATCCATATTTGAGACAAAGATATAATTTCTTGTAAAAGTTTGGTTTCATCTTTCTAACCATTAATCATCCCCATGGAACTTTCACAAACCAGGAACAAATGAGTGCAATGATTTACAGTGTGGTATGGTGGCTGTGTTTGCAGACACTGGGCAGGAAGAGATGGTGGAGAAAGGAACGCTCTGGCTGTTGGGCATCGTCCTGGGGGTGCTCATGCTGCTGCTGGGAACCATCCACGCCATCCTGGTGTCTCAGTTCTGTTCAGGTGAGAGGCTCCATGCCATCCTTGTGTCTCAGTTCTGTTCAGATGAGAGGCTCCATGCCATCCTGGTGTCTCAGTTCTGTTCAGGTGAGAAGCTCCATGCCATCCTGGTGTCTCAGTTCTGTTCAGGTGAGAGGCTCCATGCCATCCTTGTGTCTCAGTTCTGTTCAGATGAGAGGCTCCATGCCATCCTGGTGTCTCAGTTCTGTTCAGGTGAGAAGCTCCATGCCATCCTGGTGTCTCAGTTCTGTTCAGGTGAGAAGCTCCATGCCATCCTTGTGTCTCAGTTCTGTTCAGGTGAGAAGCTCCATGCCATCCTGGTGTCTCAGTTCTGTTCAGGTGAGAAGCTCCATGCCATCCTGGTGTCTCAGTTCTGTTCAGGTGAGAAGCTCCATGCCATCCTGGTGTCTCAGTTCTGTTCAGGTGAGAAGCTCCACGCCATCCTCTGGTCTCAGTTCTGTTCAGGTGAGAGGCTCCATGCCATCCTGGTGTCTCAGTTCTGTTCAGGTGAGAGGCGCCATGCCATCCTGGTGTCTCAGTTCTGTTCAGATGAGAAGCTCCATGCCACCCTGGTGTCTCAGTTCTGTTCAGGTGAGAAGCTCCATGCCACCCTGGTGTCTCAGTTCTGTTCAGGTGAGAGGCGCCATGCCATCCTGGTGTCTCAGTTCTGTTCAGGTGAGAAGCTCCATGCCATCCTGGTTTCTCAGTTCTGTTCAGGTGAGAGGCTCCACGCCATCCTGGGCCCACTTGCACAAAGCGATCTTGGCTCTAAGATGATCGTAACTCCCATACCTTTAACATAGGCTGACAATAGTCTTAGCGCTATGATGGCTTTGTGCAAGTGGACCCTGGTGTCTCAGTTCTGTACTCAGTTCAGAAAGATGAGAAACTTCATACTGGTATCTTGACATTTCATGTCCTCAGACTTTTGGCAGAAAATAATGTATGGGATGTACATGTGTTTGTTATAATAGAAAATTATGATATTCCATTTTGATTTTGTCCTGCTTCTAACTTGAGCCCCAGAAATTTTGGCAGAGCAATTGTGAAGTTAAACAATTACCTGGACTTTCCGCTATTGCCGAACACTATTTCCACACTATTTTTTATTGCTGCTTAATTCCAAAATAACATCCATTTCAGTGTCGACAAGTGTGCCCATCGCTGGGGCGGCAATGTGTGGATTTACTCTCCTCATTGGTCTCAGTTTGCTGGTCATCTCTGTACTGAAGAAAGGTAGGCTACATACACTACGGATCAAAACAAACATCCCTTCTATCGTTGGTCTTGGTCTGCTGGTCATCTCAGTACTGTAGAAAGGTAGGCTACATACACTACGGATCAAAACAAACTTCCCTTCTATCATTGGTCTTGGTCTGCTGGTCATCTCAGTACTGAAGAAATGTGACTACATACACTACGGATCAAAACAAACTTCCCTTCTATCGTTGGTCTTGGTCTGCTGGTCATCTCAGTACTGAAGAAATGTGACTACATACACTACGGATCAATACAAACATCCCTTCAATCATTGGTCTTGGTTTGCTGGTCATCTCAGTACTGAAGAAATGTGACTACATACACTACGGATCAAAACAAACTTCCCTTCTATCATTGGTCTTGGTCTGCTGGTCATCTCAGTACTGAAGAAAGGTAGGCTACATACACTACGGATCAAAACAAACATCCCTTCAATCATTGGTCTTGGTCTGCTGGTCATCTCAGTACTGAAGAAATGTGACTACATACACTACGGATCAAAACAAACTTCCCTTCTATCATTGGTCTTGGTCTGCTGGTCATCTCAGTACTGAAGAAAGGTAGGCTACATACACTACGGATCAAAACAAACATCCCTTCAATCATTGGTCTTGGTCTGCTGGTCATCTCAGTACTGTAGAAAGGTAGGCTACATACACTATGGATCAAAACAAACTTCCCTTCTATCATTGGTCTTGGTCTGCTGGTCATCTCAGTACTGAAGAAAGGTAGGCTACATACACTACGGATCAAAACAAACAACCCTTCTATCATTGGTCTTGGTTTACTGGTCATCTCAGTACTGTAGAAAGGTAGGCTACATACACTACGGATCAAAACAAACTTCCCTTCTATCATTGGCCTGAAAAACCCAATCTTAGGTTTGTTTTGGCAATTAGTGTAGATCTGTTGGTTCTTGAATTGTCAGCTTAAGCTTTCAAGTGTTTGTTTTATGAAATGCTGTGAGATTCCTTTCCAGTTTCTGCATGTTATTGGTTCAACAGCAAGTTCTTCTGTTGACTTAATTATTATTATAAAACTTTGGGCTGTTTTCTGACACTTGATTGCTTCTGGTTCAGCATGGAATTTGAGAACATTTGTAAACTAATTATACTAAGTAACTTGTCATATTTATAGGGGATTGGAGAAGTGGTGGGGGGGGGGGGGGGGGCGGTGCATAAACAAATGTTACATAAACTGGGGAACTGGTGGATGATGCATGTTTAATTGGATGCAGTCCTGTGTGGCGTCCAGTATCCCCAGCCCCACCTCCCCCTCTCCATAATAAAAGACCTGGACCTAAGGCCATGTGTACCTTTATTTGAACCATGTTTTCAGTTCACCTGACTAAAAGTCAAGTGGACCCGTGAAGATCCGGGGTAGAATAGGTCCTCAGCAACCCATGCTTGCCGTAAAAGGCGACTATGCTTGTCATAAGGGGCGACTAAAGGCACTGGGTGGTCAAGCTCGCTGACTTCGTTGATGCATGTCCCAATTGCGTGGATCGATGCTCATGATGTCAATCAGTGGATTGTCTGGTTCAGACTCGATTATTTACAGACTGCCTTTTATATAGCTGGAATATTGCTGAGTGCGTCGTTAAACAACAAACAAAGTCAAGTGATCTCATCTATCAGGACACTTGTCCATTGTCAACTTTTATATCTTTGTTGCCTCCTATCAGGACACTTGTCCATTGTCAACTTTTATATCTTTGTTGCCTCCTATCAGGACACTTGTCAATTGTCAACTTTTATATCTTTGTCGCCTCCTATCAGGACACTTGTCCATTGTCAACTTTTATATCTTTGTTGCCTCCTATCAGGACACTTGTCCATTGTCAACTTTTATATCTTTGTCGCCTCCTATCAGTCCACTTGTCCATTGTCAACTTTTATATCTTTGTCGCCTCCTATCAGTCCACTTGTCCATTGTCAACTTTTATATCTTTGTCACCTCCGATCAGTCCACTTGTCCATTGTCAACTTTTATATCTTTGTCGCCTCCTATCAGTCCACTTGTCCATTGTCAACTTTTATATCTTTGTCGCCTCCTATCAGTCCACTTGTCCATTGTCAACTTTTATATCTTTGTCGCCTCCTATCAGTCCACTTGTCCATTGTCAACTTTTATATCTTTGTCACCTCCTATCAGGACACTTGTCCATTGTCAACTTTTATATCTTTGTCACCTCCGATCAGTCCACTTGTCCATTGTCAACTTTTATATCTTTGTCGCCTCCTATCAGGACACTTGTCCATTGTCAACTTTTATATCTTTGTCGCCTCCTATCAGTCCACTTGTCCATTGTCAACTTTTATATCTTTGTCGCCTCCTATCAGTCCACTTGTCCATTGTCAACTTTAATATCTTTGTCGCCTCCTATCAGGACACTGGAGTTGGAACTTGTGTATTGTGTCACTAAAACATGTTCACGGAATTCCAATCTGATTTGAGAAATGGCCACCGTGGCAGACATATTGTAATTGTCATTTTTGCCCATCAAAGAGCGCTTGCTGCATGTATCATGAAATTTGAGATGCAGCATGTATAACATATGCAGCATGAATAAGATATGCAGAAAAATAAATATTACATTAAATATTGCCTATTGGATTTTTTTATCAGCTACAACCTTGCTGTTTCTGTTAATGTATTTTTCTACTCTGGAACTACAAGATCTCTGCAGTGAAATGTTTGTATTAATCTCCCACCTATGGTGTCTCCCAATAGTCCTCACAGTGAGTGAGTGAGTGAGTTGGGTTTAACGTCAATTTTAACAGTATTCCAGTTACATCACAGCGTGTCAGCTTAATTTGGGAGGAAAGCCCGAAGTGATGCAGGTCTCAGATGTTTACCACTTCGGTGAAACCTACGAGCACGGGTATGGTGCTGACAAACCTAGAAACATAATCTGGGCGAACCGGGATTCGAACCCACAATCATAGGTTTCTGGCGTGTCCGAGGGACGCAACTCTGCACAGCGAATTGCAGCAGTCCTCACAGAAATCTGACAATTCCGATGACTGCCATGGCGGCCATATTGGAAATTTGATTCAAAACATCTTCTCAAGCACCGGACCTATGAGGCTGAAACGTCCCAGTTTGTTCAACAAGTTCAAATCTGATTTTCAATGTGGCTCCAATGCCAGCCACATACATGTAGAGAAAACGGTTTATTCCTTTATTGTGTCAGTTCATTGGATTTTAGTGTTAGTTATTATTAAATACTTTTTACTTTGCAAAACAGATCAATGTTAATAATAACTGTTTCTTTACCAGTGACTGTCTTTGCATTTTAAATGTTGACTACACATCAAAGGCCCATTCCACAAAGTGATCTTAGAACTACGATGATCGGATGTCAAGGTATGCGAGTTAAGATCACCATAAGATAACTTTGTGGAACCAGCCCCAGGTGAGCTACAGTGCCGTAGCACTATTTTTGTGTCAGTTTGAATGTAGTTGACTTTCTGATCAGTTTCTGTAGAGGGAATACAGGTTATCTTTCTGGGCTTCTTTGAGGGAGTCTGCCCGTTTTTCTGGTGCATGTCAGCCTTCTGCATGTTGCATGTGTGTTGCAGTGACCTCGCAGAACACGGAGTATCAACTGCCCGAAGACCTGAAGATCACGAGAGGTACTTGCTTGATTCTTGCATGAGTTTCTTGTCCATATTTCGGGACTGACAGTTTGATATTCTGGGGATGTGACTGTGATTTTATTTCAGACATTGTTGCAGGAAAATACTGGAAATAAAATTGGCCTCATCTTTTTGAAACAATATAATTAAGTGGTCGCTATACATTCTGACAAAAATGATTTATGAAAAGAAAATATATTGTTCTGCTCCTTTCTGAGAAAGAAAATGGGTGTCTAGGTCTTGAGGCAGCTACAGAAAAGTATATGAAAAATTGGTCCCTTAGTAAAATATTGTGAAATTTAATATTAATGTTGAATATGTTTTATATTGAAGGTAGGTGAAATATTTGTCATATGTTAGACATAAAAAATGTGACCAGTCAAAATGTTAGTTATTTAACTGAAAAAGAGAGTGAAATAAAATCCTGTTGGTATTCTGGGATTGAATTGTTCCAGACAGCATGTGCTTGTCAAAAGAGGGCACTAAATAGTTCGATATGTAATTGATATCAACCACTGATTTATCTTTTCCTGACCTGCAAAGCCAGGTTCTTAACTTAAGGTAAGAGTGAGTGAGTGAGTATGGTTTTACTCAGCTTTTAACAGTATTCCAGCAATATCACGGCAGGGGACACCAGAAATGGGCTTCACATATTGTACCCATGTCGGGATTCGAACCCGGGTCGTCGGCGTGACGAGCAACACTTAACCACTAGACTACCATACCACCCCCTTTAGATACGATTAGAGAAGGAAGGCCCATTGGTGTGGCAAGTAGACATGAATTACAACATGCAACTTAAGTCCTTCTTCTGTTTCAGGCGACACGTCAGCACTGGAGGAAGATACGGATGAGCTAGAAGAAGACAAGTGATACTTTTTATATTTTATCCTGCCCATTTGAGCTTGACACCACTATAACCATCTCCGTCCACATGATATTGTGTCAACCATCTTTAGATTTAGATATACACCAGCACAAGGAGAACAAATGATGTTGGGGTTCCACTGTAATCAGATACACCACATTGCAATCAAACTGAATGGTAAATGTACTACTGGAAAAAGAACTTATTCTCATCAACTTTAAATAACTGAATACAGATTATAATTTTGTGAATGAGGTTGAGTGGGGTTTTTTCAATATCTTTGTATGAGAAAAACATTTGTCAGGACATGCCCTGGTGTGTTTTCTTTTATACATATCTGGGTAATCAGGAAGATTTTGCTTCTAATTTCTTTCTTTCTAGATTTAATAGCAATGTAAGCGTTACATGTGCACATCATTGCTTGGCGGGGCAGTCGGGTAGCCTAGTGGTTAAAGCGTTCGCTCATCACGCCGAAGACCCGGGTTCGATTCCCGACATGGGTACAATGTGTGAAGCCCATTTCTGGTGTCCCCATTCAATGTGCTGAAATATTGCTAAAAGCGGCGAAAAACCATACTCACTCACTCACTCATTGCTTGGCAGTGTGTCAGGTGAAAATAGGTTTGTTCAAATTCAAATTCAAATTGTTTAGTCCAATTTATTTAAAAAGCTATGTTTGTGAAAATACATCAAGACCTGTGCACGGGTTCAGTCAGCTAGTAGACGTTCCTCCATTTAGGCTCAGGATAGTCTTAGTGCTAAGATGATTGTAACTCCCATACTTTAACAGAGGCTCAGGATAGTCTTAGTGCTAAGGTGATTGTAACTCCCACACTTTAACATAGGCCCAGGATAGCCTTAGCACTTAAGTGATTGTAACTCCCATACTTTAACATAGGCTTAGGATAGTCTTAGTGCTAAGGTGATTGTAACTCCCATACTTGAACATAGGCTCAGGATAGTCTTAGCACTTAAGTGATTGTAACTCCCATACTTTAACATAGGCTCAGGATAGTCTTAGTGCTAAGATGATTGTAACTCCCATACTTTAACATAGGCTCAGGATAGTCTTAGTGCTAAGGTGATTGTAACTCCCACACTTTAACATAGGCTCAGGATAGTCTTAGCACTTAAGTGATTGTAACTCCCATACTTTAACATAGGCTTAGGATAGTCTTAGTGCTAAGGTGATTGTAACTCCCACACTTTAACATAGGCTCAGGATAGTCTTAGCACTTAAGAGATTGTAACTCCCATACTTTAACATAGGCTTAGGATAGTCTTAGTGCTAAGGTGATTGTAACTCCCATACTTGAACATAGGCTCAGGATAGTCTTAGCACTTAAGTGATTGTAACTCCCATACCTTAACATAGGCTCAGGATAGTCTTAGTGCTGAGGTGATTGTAACTCCCATACTTTAACATAGGCTTAGGATAGTCTTAGTGCTAAGGTGGTTGTAACTCCCATTCTTTAACATAGGCTCAGGATAGTCTTAGTGCTAAGGTGATTGTAACTCCCATACTTTAACATAGGCTCAGGATAGTCTTAGTGCTAAGATGATTGTAACTCCCATACTTTAACAGAGGCTCAGGATAGTCTTAGTGCTAAGGTGATTGTAACTCCCATACTTTAACATAGGCTTAGGATAGTCTTAGTGCTAAGGTGATTGTAACTCCCATACTTTAACATAGGCTTAGGATAGTCTTAGTGCTAAGATGATTGTAACTCCCATACTTTAACAAAGGCTCAGGATAGTCTTAGTGCTGAGGTGATAGTAACTCCCATACTTTAACATAGGCTCAGGATAGTCTTAGTGCTAAGATGACATTGTGACATGGTGCCCTGTGTTAGCCAGCCAATGCTTTATGGGACAGAGTGAACACACTAGCCATGAAAATAAAAATGAATAGGAGTGTTAAGTATAATAGTACTAAGAGTGTGTGTGTGTGTACACTCATTATAATATACAAAATCCATGTATGTTTATCTATATTTATGTTTGTGTGAATGTATATCATCAATCAATTTAAATTTGATAATGCCTTTATATTATATGGAGTACTAACCCTAGAAACCTTATGACCAGACATGTGGTTCTTTATGACAAAATCAGTCAGCACGTTGTGTCCCTCTAACTGGTATCCAAACATTTCACTGGTTAAGCCCATTTCAGCTGCCCCTTCTGTGATATTGGAGGAGTATTGTGTGATAAAGGTGACATACAAAACTGCAAAAAGTGCAATCATGACCTATAGAGCACGGGTCAGTTTCTGGTGTAATCTGGGACGTCCACAGTAGCTTAAGCAGTTTAATACATGTACAACCAGTTTATATTGCAGTTCCCAGTACAATATCACTGTTATTAACTGATATGTTTTATGTGTGTTACACTGTGAATTCAGAGTGTAATTTTGTTATACTATTGAAACAATTCCTTGTTATTGTCTTGTTAAGTGTCACAAGACCCTGAACATTTATTTCCCCAGCTGTGTCTGTTGACCAACCCTCAGACCTCCGACATTACCTGTTTCAAATATATCGTGGAATTGTTATTGATTTTTACTTTAAGAGGTTGTAATATCTGTGACAAGAAGCCTCCTTTTTATAGCACGTCTACATTTTCCCCCAAAACATGATAAAAATGTATCGTATTCGACGTAATAAGCGCCCAGGGTGCTCTCAAAATTAGAAATATAGGGCTCTATTATTGGTGATATTTTGGTGAAAAAAACAGTTGAAAGATAAATTTCGTGATTCGGTGACACCCTGAAATGTTTATATACGACAGATATATTTTTCCAGAATTTAATTGCCCATAATTGAGGGTGCATATTACACAGGGGTGCATATTATACACGAATAAATAAGTCTTGTGTACATTGATCAATCGGAAGTGGTGCTAATTGGGATTGTTCACTAACCAAAATATTAGCAAATATCGCCGGGTGCTTATTAGAGCGGGGCGCTTATTACGTTGAATACGGTAATTAAATATTAGAAACATGTTTTCTCAAAGTGTTCCCACAAGAATATTGTTGTTTGGGGAAAATAATGTAAACATTAAAATGAAAATGTCTAACAGTTAACTAACTTCTCCTATTGTCTAATGGTTTTTTTATTACTACATTTAGTGGGAAGGTAGAAGACGGATAAATTTGTTTTTTATATTTTATTCTGTATGTGTGTAGTTTATCTTGGCCAACTGGAAATGCTGTTTATGTCATTGGAAAGGGTACCTTCCAAGGATGTCTGACTGCAGATATATGCGGTGTTCTTGAGTATTCCACTTCCGTGCAGATGAAGTTTCAGCGCTTCATAAACACAAGAACTCAGCTGTGAAGAGCTTACATAATGTCACTGTCCTGATGACGTCTTCAAACATGAAAAGTTTGCCTGTGACATGTTGGTGACATGTTTGTGACAAACGACATCCTTGATTGTATAATGCTGAAAAATGTCAAATAGCAAACAAATTGATAATATTATGACAATATGTCATGTCGTCATGTCATTTGTAAATTTATTTTTTTTAAATTGGGATTTTATATTTTACTATCTAGATGGGTAAACAAATATATTCACATGGGGAGAAGAGATTTCCGGATCACAAGGTTTTCAGATTGTGCCATATACTGTTTTCTGTTATTCTCAAAAGATTCACTGTACGTAATTAGAGTTGTCGTTGATGTGTTTCCATGGTTACCACTGTTTCCCCCTTTACATTCCAGCATAGCGTGTTTGTGTGTAAAGTGACCATATTAATTTGCAATCACTACCAAAACAACAATATATGTTTGTGCTTGAACACTTACTTTTTGTGGACTCGTTGTATTTACGATATTTTGAAATTATCCACTTGTCCAGGTTACATCATTTTCATTTTATAAACAAGGCACTGTCACTGTATGCATGCACAGTTTTCTTCGAGACGGGACTGACTAACTCGTCTTAGGCACTGTTAATCGGTGTGGAAGTTAAGTCTCTTAGGCGCGCCAGACACCTTTGATCTTGGGCTCCAGTGATTGTCATGTACGACCTGCCCCTTCCACTTCAAACTGACACTCCGTGTTGTTACTGAAACACTGCTCAGTGCGGAGATGAACAAACTCACTGAGACAGTGTTAAGTATGAAGTGATGACAAAGCCGAGTAGTTACCATCTTCCCGAGCCAAGGGAGTTAACTGACTGCAAAAGTCCAGTTTCCACCCTTGCCGAACTAGGCTTGAATTTCTAGGCTCGAGCGTAGCGCTACCAGTGGCTATAACCAGTTATGTGCCTTTTGTGTCCCTAATATTAACCAATCAGATTCCACCTGTCATATCACTTGTATTTGTTTTAAACAAATGGCATCTCCCAGTCAAGACGATCTGATCGATAATCAAATTCTGTATTGTGATTAAACGGGTCTTACTTCGATAAGTGCATCAAATCATGTGAACATCTTCAAAAACACCACAAGATTTCGAAATCAACTCTGTGTAGGTACACTTGCTTTGCCAATCCTGCAAGCGAGCGAATCTGCACGGCCGTTGACGGACCTGATGTCGATTTCCTTATACGAGTTTGATTGGACGGGCGTCGGATGTTAAGTCCAGCCACTGGGCTGCAAGTTGAAACGCATGCACTCTTATGGAGGAGGTTCTCTTTTTTCAAGCTTCCCTCCCATCATCTGATAAGAACAAGAATATACTTCATCATCATCCAGAACTGCCTCAAGTTTTAACTCGCAGCCCTGTGGCTGGACACGACATACCACGCCCGGCCACGTGTGCATAGACTCGTTAGTCCAGCCAAAATATTACTCCATCATTCCAGCCCAGTTCGGCAAGGGTGGAAACTGGACTTTTATTGGCTGTTAACTCCCTTGCCTCGGGAAGATGAATAGTTACAGTGTTCGCTCGTGACTCGGAAGATCTGGGTTCAATTCCTCATACTGATACAAAGTGTGAAACCAGTTCTTTGTGCCTGACATAAAATGCCTGGAATCATTTTCAGGCTGCGGCTGGGAGTTTTACTCACTTTTACTGCAAAATTGTACGGCGGGTGTTAGTGGTAGGGCAGCACATGCTGACCCGTTTCCAGAAACGTAGTTTCATCACTGATTTTCAGCTCAAATCCAACTCCATCACAACTAGATCTGTCTTTCAAATTCAAAGGTTACCTGTCATTAAGACCCGTGATGATCCGGTGTAAAATAGGTTTTCAGCAACCCATGCTTGCCGTAAAAGGCAACAATGCTTGTCGTACGAGGGATCGAGTGGTCATACTCGCTGACTTGGTACATGTCATCGTATCTCAATTGCGCAGATCGATGCTCATGATGTCAAGCACTGGATTGTCTGGTCCAGACTCGATTATCACTCCATTTCCTTGGAAAGAACATGGCATATATGCTGAGTACAAACTGAATAAATGGAGTGACTATTACATTCAACATTGAAATATATCCCGATCTGGAAAGTTATTGGATTATGCTGGATTGCCGCAGACTGCACAGTTTCCAACGTGTTCGTATATACGATGTGGGAAGGCAGTAGTTACGTGTTGACCTTTAGCAATTCCAGTTTAGGGAAGACTGGAAAATTAGAAAGTTCTTTTATCCATCGTAATTAGATGTGTGTGGCACACAAAAACATATATACCCAGTATATTTCTGATAAGAGATTTGTTATCACCATACGTCACGGTAAAGCCTGAGAGAAGCGACTTATGTCTTCACCAGTTTTATGAAGACAAATGTGCAATATATGAATTTAGCTACGGAAGTGCATTTGAAACATATGTATTTGACCCACTACATTTTTAGCTCACATGACTGAAAGTCAAGGGAGCTCATGTTGTGGCTCTCTATCCCTCAGTTCGTATTGTCGACACCCCAGAAACAGAATTTCTACACGGATGATCCAACCTATGGTGTTTAAAAGGCCACAAAATAAAGATCTGAATTTCAAACATGACCGCTTAATACACCTGTTTGTCCAATGGTGCAGCATTTCTGACAGATCTCGGTTTGTGAAGCTGACATTTTGTGTATAAGATCGGAGCAAAAATGTGATCACAATATCCCGACCATATTGAAAATGTAAATTGGCACATTACTCAGCCATGCGTGCATGTATCATTTTAGACCTTGATTCTATGTGTGGTATGCGGTCCGTCCTTTGGCGCATTTCGAATTTACTTGTATTAGTTATTTGTTATGACATTTCCTTATGAATCAGGTGAGCTACACACCCTTGTGGCTCCATTTTTACTTGTATTATGGCATTTGTAGCCTTTATATACACGGTGCACAACTGGATTGTTATTGTTTTGTTATTTTTACACTTTGCCTTGGTTTTGTCTGGATATATTCCTATTGAAACAGACAATTACATTTACTCACAAACCGTCCTGTCGTCTCCCATCACCCTAGGTCCGGTATAAATACCGTCCACATCTTAAATTTGTATCTATCTTGCTACATTAC